AATAAGTTCAAGCACCCCCAGCAGCAATTCATTATAAGATGAATTGGTATATCCAGAATCAGCACAGGCAGATTCTGAATGAAAAGGCAAGCTGAAGGCCCCTATGCCAACCAGAGAGGACAGGCAAGCTTCTGAAATAATACCATCCAACTCTTTCACTGGCACCTCTCATGTCTATGGCTGTTTAAGATATTTCCTATAACCTGCTGATAAACCAGGAATAAAGTTGAGTTGGTTCTTAGGAAGGTCTGTTCTGGATGCAGATGAAAGCTCTAAAGGAACTATGGTTACACTATAGCCCCACGAACTGAGATTCATAAAGCAATGAAAGTAACCCACATTTAAAACATACATAAACTCCTGGGCAGTGAGTAATGTGTCTCTGCCACTGGAATGAAAGCTCCATGAAGCTACGAAATCAGAGGTGTTTTTCTGTTTTACTTGTTGATGTCTTCTCAGTAGTTAGAATAGTGCCTGTAGCATAACATATTCAAAAAGTCCTATTGAATGAATTAATATATGAATGAAAATACATGGTGGAATAGTAACAGAAAATGAACAGAGGCACAAATAGTTTACCCATAAAAAGGCATACATAGTTAATGTATCCAAAGTTGTCTGAAAGGAATGAAAATTCAAGAAATCTAAACTGAAACAGGCCGAGCGCGACGGCTCACACCTGTAATCTTTTGGGAGGTTGAGGCAGGTGGATTACGAGGTCAGGACTTCAAGTTCAGCCTGACCAAGATGGCGAAACCCCATCTCTACTAAAAATACAAAAAATTAGCTGGGCATGATGGCAGGTGCCTGTAATCCCAGCTACTTGGGAGGCTGCAATCGGAGAATCGCTTGAACTCAGTGGCAGAGGTTACAGTGAACCGAGATCTCACCACTGCACTCAGCCTGGGTGACAGAGTGAGAGACTGTCTCAAAAATAAAATAAAAAATACAGTGAAACAATAAGACAGCCTATCAGATTGAAAATGTTTCTATAATCACTTGAGCTCAGGAGTTTAAGGTTACAGTGAGTTATGATCACACCACTGCATCCAGCCTGGGCAACAGAACAAGACCCTGTCTCAATTTAAAAAAAAATCCTATATAAGACTAAAATAATAATCTCATATAGGTCTTGGAAATTCTGAATTTCAGAAGTGTAAAGTTGTAACATTTCTGTAGAGAATAAAGACTTCCTTTTATTAACCAATTAATACATGAGGATATGAACTTTGTAAAAGATGCACATTTTCTATGTCTATTTTGGATTTTTTGGGCATCACATTTATTAAGCATCTCAACCCTTAAAAATACTCTTTTGTTTTTCATGGGACAAGGGGAGAGGGCAAAAGGAGACTAAATGCCATGAAGGAATAGTGTCAGCCCACATGGTGGTTGAGCCAAGATGATGGCTTTTAAAATGGGAAGTAATGAATTTACTAGGGAAATGTGCAGGGGGTTAAATGGACAGAATTTCATTACTAATTATGTAGAAAACACTGGATAAATCTAGTTTGGGAAAAACATTAAGATGTAAATTTTAGACATCTTTAAGTTTTGATACTCTAAAATACTTCAGCATTCAATCCCACCAAATCTGTTAGACCCATACTGAGAGAATTAGACTCATACTGAGAGAATTAGCCCAGGCATAGAAGGTAAAGAAAAGAGAAGTTTCTGAAGCTACTTGATGGCCCTGGGGTAGAACTGAGGGGTCTGGAGTTCAGCATGGGTGTGGGGGAGCAGTTTCAAGGTCACCACATTTTATACAGTCAGGAGGCTAGGCAGTCATTGATCTCCCTTCTACAGTCTCCTCTAGGCTTTGATTTCCTCTCCTCAAGGCCAGTTCTGTGAGTTGATTTTTTGGAAGCTTAAGGGGTGGAGAATGCTGTGGTGAGAGAAACTGGTGACGATCTGTTGTGGCAACTGTTCTCTGTTGACTACAGATGTAGTGGGAGATGCTATAGCGGAAATCAGGCTTTCTGGTATCACTGGTAATAATTTGATTTTAGAGGTCAAGGGGTTGAATTTGACACAATAAGCCAGAGGTAATAAGCCAGAGTTTTCAGCCACAGAAATCTGTGACAATGATTAGCTTATTTTGAAGTTTTGGGAAATAAAAAAAAAAAAAAAGAAAAAGAAAAAGAAAAAAGAAAGGATATTTCACTAAGGAGCTGCTGATATGCTAAGGAAAAATCCATGCATGTTGGTTGGAAACTTAGCACATATTCTCAGAGAGGAGACTCATTGTGTCTTACCCAATCCCCAGACTTCAATGCAGTTAGTAGGCAAAGCTTTTCCCAGACCAGGAACCACTCAACTGGAAAGGAGATAGGTTGAGTCTCTTGGTGAAGGACATTGTAACATGATCACAGGTATAATTATGACATTTATTCCCCAACACCTAAACCAGAGGAAACTTCAGTCATTTTCTTGAACAACTATGTACTGGGGAAATGCTGAGATCCTGTGATGGTTTCCGGCTTGTATTTACAAACAAAAATAACAAATATTTCTTTGCTGCCTTGCCCAGGTGTATGTCAGCACTCCTGATCTCTGTTATAAGATGGCCAGAGAGAACTAAATCATCTTGCTATAGCTCCCAACATGATATACCTCACAACTGGTTGCATACAATAGATTCATTACATTGATGCAATCATGCTAACTATTCCTGGTGAAATGTAAGCAGTAAATATTCTACATATTTTTATAAGATATTATGTCCACTAGCATGAAATTGATCCAACTTGACCACTTTGACCCAATGAACCCTAAGTTTACAACTGCACAGAAGCATTTTTATCATAAACATAATTGTGGCATTTTGGAGGCCAGGCCTGAGCAGCTCCGAAGAAGCTCAGTAAACTGCATGAGCAGGTGACTCAGACTCCGATGGCACACGTTCACATTCCTTTGCCATCTCCACCTCAAACATACCTGTGATCTGGGTTGGGGGATGGGGAAGAGCGTTCTGTATGATCTTATACTGAAGTAGTTGAAAAACGAGGTTTAGAAGTGGATATGTGAAAGATGGCAACTGGAAATAGATGCCATACTGTAATCCCATTCAGAAGAAGACTGTGAAAGACAGAAGTGAAGGTAAATCTTCCCAATGAACTGAAGTTTGGGTGATATGTCTGGTTGTTCACCTGACAGGAAGGATAAGCACTCAGAGAAGTAATCTAAATGGTCTCATCAGAAATTAATAGGTGAGATGCCTTATCAGAAACTCAAAAAGAACAAAATACAAAAATTAATGAGAAGCTAAGAGGTACATATAGAGACCATGCAGAAAGGACATGGAGTGTGTAAATATGTATTCCCATGTACATGCTCACAAGTGACATCCAGTGTTGAGGAGGAGACTCAGTAATCAGGTGGACACAGCATGTGCTGTGGGAAACAGTCAGTCACTTTCCCCAGATACTCTGGTGTTTAATCAATGAATTGACATTGAGTGGCCATGTAGCAGAAACAGAACCATTAGTGAGTGAGTGAGTGAGTGTGTGTGTGTGTGTGTGTGTGTATGTGTGTGTGTGTGTGTGAGAGTTAAGTAAAAAAAAAAAAAATATATATATATATATATATATATATATATAAAATAAGGAATGTGATTATGGAGGTTGGTAAGTCAAAATTCTGCAAGTGGGCATGGACATGCTGGGTACCTAGGAAGTCTCGTGTTTCAATTCAAGTGCAAAGTCTATTTATTGTCTGTAGAATCAGGAAAAGCCAATGTCGCAGATAAAGTCTGAAGGCCAACTCTTTCCCAGGGGGCAACTCCTGGGTGCCAATCTCTCACTCACGAATTAGGGCACCAGGTGCTTTTGATTATGTGAGAACAAGTGAGATCTACCTGGAGGCACAACAGGACTCCAGCTGGAGGTATTAAAATTCCTGACAAGATAAAGAGGTGTATTAAGAACGTTGCCACTTAGGAGCCTCTTATTAACCGAGAATCCATAACTATTCGTAGCCCCTCTTATTTCATCTAAGACATTAAATAACACTGCTCTTATCAGTTTTGGGGCAAAGTCATTAATTTTATGTTTGATATGGTGGGGGAGGGGTGACAAATTGTCTTAGGTTTTGAGGTGTCAAATACATTTCAAAGAACGCTGAAAAAAAAAGAAGTCTGAAGGCCATTGCTGGAGAATTCTTTCTCACTCAGGGAAGATAAGTCTTTTTGCTCTATTCAAGCCGTCCAATTGACTCAGTGAGGCCCAATCACAGCAAGGCAAATCTGCTTTACTCAAAGGCCACCAATTTAAATATGAATCCCTTCCAAAAACACCCTCACAGAAGTATCTGGACTCTGCAGCTCAGCCAAGTTGACACAAAGTAAACTGTCACACCTACTGAAGGCAAATCTGTCAGGCATTTTCTGAAAAAAACAAACAGACAAAAAAGTTAAATTCTTTTAAAGCGATTCCTATTGTCACTAACTTGAGACTTGCTGATCATTTATTTCACTATTTTGTTCCATCCAACCATTGTTATTTGGACCCTACTGAATCAAATATGTCCCAAATAGCAAAATGACTATTTTAATTTAAAATTTGAATTTTTATTTACCTAGAAATTGGTTTTGTTTTGTTAGAGATTATTTGGTTTATTTTATTTTTTCTCTTACTTGATTACAAAAAATATGAAGGAAGGAAGTACATCTATCTTGTTCACCATTAAGTTTCTAATATACCACATGCAAATGGCAGGTACACACAAGTCCATTTGTTGGAAAGAGTAGTACGTATTAGCTACCTTTATCTTGAAATACACAGAATTATAGCCAGATATTAGCAAGCGTATGTCCATTTTCATTTACCAACACATCCTGTGTGGTTTTAGACATCTGAGTCTGAATAAATTTTGACCAGTTTTGGTCTTCCTTTTAGTTTCTTTTGGTATCTTGGGCTTAAAGAGACATATCCAAGGTTGAGATTAGTTTCCATTTCCTTTGTGCTATCTTCTGGATATTAACATATTAAACATTTGAAGAGATGGAGAATGAAGATGGGTATATGATGCTGAATTTCAAGAATGGTTGTAAATCCAAGCAGAAATCTAAAGGTAGGAATATTGCTCCCCATTCCCCCATTCAGTTTAAAATTGCATTATTCTTCTAGGAAGAGAATTATCTTTGAATATTTTTAACATCTTAAAATTGATCATAAGAAGAAATACGAAAAGGGTCATAAATTGTCTGAGATAGATTATTTAGATTCATGAAAGCATCAACAATAAAAACGCAGCATTTTCAGAGCCATGAGGTAAGAGAAATGCTAATCCTGCGTGTTGTAGCATAAGAAAGAGAATAACTTTCAAAGAAAAGGCTGAAAAATTGTGTTTTTACAGAAACTTCTTCCTACAAAGCTTAAAGTCCATGGAAACACTTATCTTGGTATGGTATCTGTGAAAACATGTTTCGTGAAGTTGCCTATTACAGTTGGAAGGTAAGATCTAGTGGTGGTGGTGAGAGTAACAGTGGTCCTGTAGTGTTTTACAGCTTAAAAAAGCATACTATATATTGGTTTTAATCTTCATAAAAACTCTATAGGATTGGTAGAACAATCTACTGGGAATGAGGAGAAGAGGGAGAAAAAAAAAAAAAAGGCTAATCTTGGCTCCTTAGGGCTGCTCTGTGGTTGGTTTTTGTTTTTTTAAGTTCTGTTACAGGTTCTATAGACAAGTTTGATGAACAACATGCCGGTGCCTGAATTCAATTTGTCTAAAAGGAACTTTGAAAACAATCTTGTTGAAATAGTCAAAACCTAAGTTAAGATGACATAGGCCAGAAATCAGAATTACCAGCCACAGTGGCAGTTCTGCCATATGTATCGAACATTCTGGTGTACTATCTCATTTTATATCTAGCAAATGCAAACCCCCTTCCCCCATGTTTTAACACCATGAAACAAATGTTTACTTTTTCAATAGTAACTTACTTCCATGCAGCAAAAGTTAATATCAGTGGTATTAAATTGACTGAGTCAGGCCAGGCACAGTGGCTATTCCTGTAATCCCAGCACTTTGGGAGGCTGAGGCAGGCGGATCATCTGAGGTCAGGGGTTCGAGACCAGTCTGGCCAATATGATGGAACCCTGTCTTTACTAAAAATACAAAAAACTAGCTGTGTGTCATGGCGCATACCTGTAATCCCAGCTACTTGGGAGGCTGAGCAGGAGAATCACTTGAACCAGGGAGTGGAGGTTGCAGTGAGCTGAGATCATGCCACTGCACACCAACCTGGGTGACAGAGTGAGACTCCATCACAAAAAAAAAAAAAAAAAAAAAAAAATTGAGTCAGACCCTCTAGCCCACAGACTAAATGTACAGCTCTGGGAAGAAGCATTTAGTCTTAAATCTCAGTACATTGATTTATAATAAGAAAAATCTACCTAATGATGCTTTTATGTGGATGTTAAACTAAATTTACTATTTTTAATCTATAAACTACTTTTTAATACACAAATATGTACAGAGACTTAAAATCTGAAGTACTGATACATAAAATATAAGATAATACCCATTTAAATTATAAATGAAAGATAGGGGTGGGAAAATAAATTGGGCCAGAAAGGTTACTGTAGGCATGTTTGTTCTTGCCATACATTTGCCTCTAAGCTTCCTTGTTGAGAAGCTTGAATATTTTTTACATCTTAAAATTGATCATAAGAAGAAATATAAAAATGGTCATAAATTGTCTGAGATAGATTATTTAGATCCATGAAAGATTCATTGAGATAAGGGAATCCTTATCTCAACTAGTTGTTTAATTCACATTGTGTATAAGGTAAAGTGACACCTATTTCTTAAGATAGATATAATTAATCTTGATCCTAATTCAGAAAAAAAATATTTTCCTGAGTTCTCATGAAGCACATAAAAGAATACAATTATTGTTCTTGCAATAGTAGCATTAAAAGATTTTGAAGGGCAATTTCTTCATGTAGCCCCATGTAAGCCAATGGCATCTAGCCAAGCATTGCTAGGACAGGCCAGGATACTGCGCGTCAGGTACTCAGCTCTCTGCTCACTGGCTTGATACAGTATGTAAATCATGGCTTACATAAAAATATTAACTTTTGATCTATTGTTAGGATTTTTAATATATCTTATTTGGCAAGAACTTTAAAGTCTCCCTTCCCTGGCATGTATGGAATGGGCCTTGTTCTTTATTACCAGTTAACTGCAGATGCATATACCTATAATTGGTATTTCCTCATAAAATTACAGAAATGTATTTTGATGATTTTCAGTTGAGTAGAAGTCTTTCCATATTTCCTTGAACAGTAGAAATATGTACAGGTAGGAAAAAGAAAGCAAACTATTTTGGAATTAGTAATACAAAGAACTGAGTGGTAACTTTCAAAAGGTATACTACATGTAGTAAATTCTCTAAGTATATACTATAATCAGTATATATGCAGTAAATCCATAAAACCGATTGAAGTAAGGCATTCACACAGTAATTAGATATGAAAAACAGTACTTTTATTATGACTTAGAAGACGCATTTTTTGTGAAATGTACAACCAAGATGATGAAATTAAGGGCTTGCTTATAGATAAAATAATAAAAACTAGGGAATAATTATCAGAGTATCTCAAATTACTTTGCTTTCTCTTTGTCTACTAGCCTGGCATATTGACTAGAATAATTCTAGATTGAGATACTAATCATATGATGTCTGCCTGTAAAAGGAACCTGTCATAATTTTGTGAAAAAAAGTGTATAGATCTAATTTATTCAAAAGTGCTAATATGTAGAAGAAAGTAGATAAAATTGAAAGAGGATTATAATATATATATATATATGTTCCTGTTTACCCTCTCTAGAGGTTACTTGTTTATTTATCTGTAAGGAAAATATTCTTGTTAACTCTAATGCAATGAAATACTATAGCATAGATTCCTTATAAGTATCATTTATTGGAGATCTAATACTGCCTAGGCTGAAACTGATTCCTGTCTAGAAAGCCAAATCCAGAAAAATATAATGTATTACATGTATTAGGTGAAATAAACTGTGAATATTCCCAGTACAGTGACTGTTATATATGAAAACTTTAATAAATATTTCTTTCCCTCTTTTATTTCTTACAGTGATTCACTAAATTGAATAAAACACATCATTGTGCCTGACATAGATATGTATATTCTATATGTTATTCTTTCTATATAATTTACAAATATAAAATAATGTATTATATACATTTACAGTGCATGTTTATATTTTATATATTAATATGTTGTAATAAATAGATTATATATAATTTATATAACTATATATCATATTTATTTGTATCTATAATATATATGGAATTCAAGACATCATTTTTAGGTCTTCAAAAGCACCACCAAATAATTAACAAAGCCATTTCAGTACAACTCAAAAAACATTAAATAATAGTAGTATCTCCTTGGTTTGGGATTATTGACATTTTTATTTTTAAATTTTCATTTCATCATAAATTCTAATGACATATCCAAAATGAATATGAATCATCTCTGTAATAAAAATGAAACAGAAAAATGTTTATAAAGTGAAAAATCACAAGAATATTAAAATTCATGAAATAAAATTCAACATTTCAGATTTCTCCCTATATCTACAATGTTATTGTCTTCTGCTCATATTTGGATGCATTGGGATCCTTATTTTCATTATGACAATGACTGACCTATTCTGGCGTGAGTAATGAACTTTTATTTCTTTGAACATTTTCAGAAGATAAACATTGATCCTTCATTCTTCTTAATGCCAAGATAAGATATACATTGTAGCCCAAAATTGGTAAATTAAACGGACCAGTGGTATATATCACATTATAAAATTATATTACATTAAAAAAATTAAATGCTTATTTATTCTGCATCTTTTCTTATAAAGAACCCCCAATAGAGGTTGACTTTATTATCTTATAATAAAAATTTAGTAATTTTTTTTTTCTAAAAGAGTATATGCTCATTGGTATTGCTTTGTGAGGTCAGTATTTAAATAGCTTTTCTAAGACCCCTTTGAAAACCATTTTAGGTAGACTTCCAGACTTTTTTCTTCCTGAAGTAGTATTTATATGTGTATACTGTAGCTATACTATTTGAACAACCAAAGAAATTCATAGTTTCTTTGATTTTTTTGTTTTGCTTTTAAGCTCGTGAGCTAAAATAAGTACTGTCTTACATATAACATGACAGGAAATAGATTTTAAGGGCTTTTGAGATGAGATTTCCAAAAATGGGTGAGTCCTAAAGCAACTTCTTTAGGGTAGAAGATTATTTCTTAGTAAGAAGTATTTTTGTATTGGGCAATTGGGCAATTTTGTGTTTTTCCTAATACAACAAGGAAAAATGTCAGACTGTTCTCAGACCAAATATATATTCTACTTAATGTATTTTTTCTCTGAATATCAATCATACACCTCAAATGTGTTCAATGCTATATTGAAATCAATTACTAATAATCGGAAAATTTTCACTTATTTAACATTCAATGTTAAACGATTATTTTTTAGTTCTTATGAATCTATCTAAGTAAGCATTGCTTTCTGTTAACCAGCAATTCTAAGAAGTTAAATTAGCTTTTCTAATTATTATGGCTTTAAAAATGCTCCTAAAATTCAGGAGTAGATAGTTGCTTGTTAGACACTGAGTATGATCTTTTTAGGCCAACATGTTCTCTTGTAAATCAGTTTCTCTTCGACAAAGTATAAATGGTAAAATGACATAAATGATGCAACTTTTTTTTTTTAAAGAGAAATGCTATTGGGAAGAAATCAATAAAATTTGACATGTTGATGAATTACTAGTCAGAAAAATATTTTTTCTAGCCATATTTTTTATTCTAATAAATTAGTAACAATTACAATACGTGTGTTTCTATAAAATTTGTCCTTGGATTTTGACCTGTTTAAAATTTTCCATGTCTTCCAGTCAAAATGGAGTATTGACCATGAATATTTATATCTCCTCTCTCCCAAGAATCTATCTGTAGAACAAGAAATGATAACAAAATAGAATAAATTAATCAAAGCACATAGAATGGAAAAGGAAGAAAACTTTAAAGGAAAGGAAAGATGGATAGAATAATGCTATTGGAGACAACCTTAGTTAAAGCGTAAAAGACAGCTGCAGTGTAGACGGAAGCTGTTCATCATGGCTAAGCTCAGTCAGGGCTCCATTTCAGAGAGGAGAGTCAGAGGGTAAATGAAGGTCTAAAACAAAGTAATTATTGAATACATGAAATGCTTACTGGCAATTAAATTTAAAAATAAACTTTGAAACAAAAAAAATGAAGCAAAGTAATTAAGTGAAAGACTTTCTAAGCCATGCTCTTTCAGATTGGTGCTTTGCCAATCTGTTGGTCCATTTACACAGTGCCTTTAGCCTCTGCATCATGCAAAAAAAAAAAAAATAATAATAATAAAATAAAATCAAAGAACTCTCTAAAACAGTGAGATATACAGCTAGAGCTAGCTAGCTCCTGATTTATGGACTGGTGGTTGGTGCACTAAGATGTATACCCTTTGTTTTGGTTCTGGAGTGAGAGGGGGGAGTAGTGTATAGGTCTACTATGTAGCCTGGCTATTTCTTGTGCCCTTTCTTCTGAAAAGTCATGGTAGCTAACCAAATATCCCAGAGCATAGCGCAAAATGTCAGGAAAAAAACCATAGATAAATATGAGGCTATCTGAGACAGAAAACCAAAATTCACTTGTTTATACAGGGAGGTCAATAGCTCTTTTAACGAGCTTCCAGAAGAAGAAAATAAGCGGGAAGAAAAAGTAGACATAAAATAATGGAAAAGTAATATAAACAATTTTTCAAGAGTAAAAGGGAAACCAAAAAACTGAGTTTTCAGCTTATAAGAACCCACTAATTTCAGAACAGGACACCAAAGTAGATAATACATAGAAAGAGATGAGATAGATAGATAGATAGAGAATTTCAGAACACTATGAGTAAAAACATAATCCTAAAGGAAGGTTTTACATAAATAGTTTTCCCCCAAAGCAAATTAGCATCAGTTTTATTATTATTATTATTATTATTATTATTATTATTTTTTTTTTTTTTTGAGACAGAGTTTCATTCTTGTTGCCCAGGCTGGAGTGCAATGGTGCTATCTCAGCTCACCGAAACCTCTGCTTCCAGGGTTCAAGTGATTCTCCTGCCTCAGCCTCCTGAGTAGGAGGCTTACAAGCATGTGCCACCATGCTGGCTAATTTTGTAATTTTAGTAGAGACAGGGTTTCTCCGTGTATGTCGGGCTGGTCTCGAACTCCCGACCTCAGGTGATCCACCTGCCTTGGACTCCCAAAGTGTTGGGATTGCAGGCGTGAGCCACCACTCCCAGCCAGCATCAGATTTTTAAATGTACCTAAAAACATTCTACTGTACCAATGCCTTCAAAGTTATCAGCAATCTTGATTTTAACTTAGATTTAAAGCAAGAGTAATCAAGTAAATATTTTTCCTAGTCATTCTTTCGGAAAAACAACAACAAAAAAGAACATGGGAGGTGGGTGGCTAATTTTAGATAGAATGAAGCTAGCCCAAGAACACAATTAAAAGACTTTTCAAATTAACAACTGTTCTGTGTTCCTAGCCAGCAATGAATTCCATCCATATGAAAACACACTATAAATAATGCAACTAGGAAGCTGAAGGAACTTAATGATATGGTCAAAAGATTTTTTTTTGGCCCATAACAAGGACAAATAAGATCAAGACTAGGTGCTGGAGCTCATGCCTGTAAGAACATCATTTTAAAAGACCATGAAAAAAGGAAAATAATATACAAAAATGTAACATCTTTTATGAAGTCTAAGAGTGCACATATTATTTAGAATTGCGATTTGCACTTAAAGGAGTAAAAATAGATATGGTGAGAAGTAGTTAAATCTGGGAAAGAAGAGGAGTGGACCCATAGGAGAAGAGAAACTCACAGTTTTTATTAGCGTGCCTCCATTTTGTGCTGGTACTTTATTCTCATGTATCTAGAGTGCTTTTAATTTTTAAATGTTTCTCCTATCTTTTCTTTGCACTGAGTACAGGTGAAAAAATGGATTTCTCTCAGAATGTAAATATCAGCAGTCTATCAGGTAATGCTCTTTTTGTTTGTTACGTGCTACTCTTAGGGATAAATGTAGTTTTGACTTCCCTCTTCCTGCATTCACTCATGTTTCACACTAAGCCAACAGCGCTGGTGAAGAAGGTTGGGACTGGAAAGCACATCCTCTTCCTCAGTGCTACTGCTGCATATCAGATGGTTGAAAGGAAGGAGGGTTATGGTGATTTCTAGAAGGAAGAAAATAGGGGTTTTCCTAGTGAGTCAACAACAGGATGATAGTGGATTTCCTGCCATACCTAACTGGCCACGTATTTATCAAGCAACCAGTGATAGGTGCGGTGTGCAACGGCTGTGGGTTGTAGTGGGAAGCGTGTGGGCTTGGGATAGACCTATGTTTGAATCAAGAGATTTCAGCCAACCGATCACATGAATTTAGGCAAATTAAACATCAGTTTTTAAATTTTCAAATGGGGATATTATAATAATAACTATATCATAGAATGTTTCATGTAGATTGAACAAACTGTGATGATTAATTTTGTGTGTCAACTGGGCTAGGCCATATACCCAGACAGTTTGTTAAATACCAGCTTAGATGTCACTGGGAAGATATGCTTTAGATGAAATTGGATTTTACATTTGTAGATTTTGAATGAAATGGATTATCTTCCATAATGTAGGTTGGTTTTAACCAATCAGTTCAGTCTTAGAAAAACTACTAAGGTCCCCAAAGGAAGAAGGATTTTGGCCTCCAGACTGCCTTCAGGCTGAAGATATAATATCAATTTTTCCTTTCAGACTGAAGATATAATATCAAGTTTTTAACCTGATGGCCTGTTCTATACATTTTGGACTTGCCTACCCCTGCAATTACATGAGCCAATACCTTAAATCTCTCTCTGTCTCTGTCTCTGTCTGTCTCTGTCTCTGTCTGTCTCTCTCTCTCTCTCATACACACACACACACACACACACACACGCATACACACACACACACACCATTGGCTGTGGCTAAGAAGAACTCTGACTAATACACTAACACAGTGTGGAGGCAGTGTAGTGCAGTGGATGAAAACATAGGCTGTACATAAAAAAGGATGAGTTCATGCCCTTTGCAGGGACATGGATGAAGCTGCAAACTATCATTCTTAGAGAACTGACACAAGAACAGAAAGCCAAACACCACACGTTCTCACTCATAAGTGGGTGTTGAACAATGAGAACACATGGACACAGGAAGGGGAACATCACACACTGGAGCCTGTTGGGAGGTAGGGGGGTTAGGGGAAGACAGCAGGGGGTGGGGGCATTTGGAAAGGCTAACATTGGGAGAAATACCTAAAATAGATGATGGGGGGATAGATGCAGCATATCACCATGACACGTGTATTCCTATGTAACAAACCTGCACTTTCTGCACATATATCCCAGAATTTAAAGTACAGTAATTAAAAAAGAAAAAAAAGAACATAGGCTGTAGAACTAGGCTAGCAGTGTTAGAATTTCAGTTCTGATATTTATATGTTGTATCAGTACGTAGGGTTAAACAATCTCTATATATCTCAATTTCTTCATCAGTAAATTGGGAGTAATAATGACACCTACTTAATAAGGTTTTATTTTATTATATACTTAAATCTGTATTATATAAATATAAATGAAAGTAGAGTGAATTATATAATAAATCTCCTTGTACCTGTTTGAAATGTACAATATTTTCCATCTCCACATCAGTATTTTCCATCTATATCTCCACCATCATCACATCCCCATCCCCAAGCTAGATTATATTAAAATAGCGACTAGATCTCATACCATTTAATATTTAAATACTTCTGTATGTGACTCATAGCTAAATATGTCTTTTGCTATAACACAATCACAGTATCACTGCAACTCCTGCATTTGTTTTTGATCGGTATATAACAAATTACCACACACGCAGCAGTTTAACAACATATACTGGTTACCACCCAGTTCCCATGAGTTGGGAGTCACGGCCCAGTTTAATTAAGTCCTCTGCTCAGGGTCTCACGGGGAGTGCGGTGTAGATGTGATGCTGGCCAGACCACCCATCTTTCTAGAGCTGAGGTTCCTCTTCCAAGCTCTCTCTTATGGTGCTGGAACAATTATATGTGGTTGTAGGATATAGGTTATCGCTTTCTTCCTGGCTTTCAGCCATAACTCCTCTAAGCCTCTGGAGGCCTCTGCATTTCTTTGCCATGTGTCTCTCTCATACACCCTCTTGAAACATGGAAGCTGAATTCTTTAAAGGCAACAGGAGTTCTCTCTCTCTTCAGGGAAGGCTTCAGCCCTCTTTCAAAGACTTACATCTTATTAAGTCAGACTACTTGGAATAATCTTTCCATAGATTAACTCAAAATCAACAGACTGGGGACCCTTCTTTTGTTTTGTTCTCAAAATCCTGTCATCTTGCTATCTAATGTAACCTGATTGTGTGAGTGACATTTCATCATATTCACAGTCTTACCCACAGTCACGAAGGAATTACAAAGGTCATGTGCACCAGAGGCTGGATCTAAGGGGCCATTTTGAAATTCTGTCTACCACAATTCCTAACAAAATTAGCAGTAACTTCTTGATATCCTCTAATAGCAAAATGTCTTTCTTTTCTTTTCATTGGATTTCTAAGTATTATAATCAAAGACTTTAATTGCATTTGGTTAATATGCCTCTTGAATTTATAGATCATTTATAGAATATGCCTCTTTTAATTTATAGATCCTTGTCTCCTTTTATTTGTTCTTTGCCATTTATTTGTCAAAAGGTAGGTCATGGTTGGGCATAATTTTTTATCTTCTGATTTTTCCTTTTCATACTTCTCTGGTGTCAGTTAACTCTACAAAGTTATTTTAAAAACTGGATGTATATAAGATGCTTAGAAACCTGCCTGGCCCACAACAACAGCAGTATGTGCATGTTGTTATTATTATGTAAAGCCTCTAAGAGAGCAATTGATGCAGTGTTGTTCAATAAATACTTTTCTCTATTTTCAACCTGTATTTCTTCTTACAGAAAATAACACTTAAAGCTGAGTTACCTACAATAACTCTTTTGGACAGTTAGCATCCTCACCATGCTACACTGATCATTTGGAGTATTTTTATTGTGTTTTGCAGCACTGCAGTAATACTTCATTGACCAGTGTGTCAATATCTACATAATAAAATTATTTCATCTAAATGACACCTTCTCACTAATAATCATGAATAAATATCCCCTCTCAAATCGTAACTTGAGAGGTATATTAGAGGTCATTTTATACCTTTTAGCAAACAAATATGTATTTGTACAACTGAAATTACAATTCAGTTATCCTCAATCTTTTCACAACTTTTTTAAATGATAATTTTTTTCAGCGTTGGCAACACTTGCCCTGGTATAGCATGTATTAATGAGTTAAGAATATATATGAAGTTTCACAAATCTAAATTTAGGTCATAATAACCTTCTTTAAGTTATACCTACTCAGGTTACGTTTTTAAGCTTGGCTGGACATACAATTTAATTTCCAAAATTAATTTTTAAATAAAATTTTAGGCTTACAGTTGACATACTAAAATATTAGCAATGAAAATATTACATGCTTTAACTTAAAATATTTAGTCCAACCATTCAACATTCAACAACAATTGTTTATTATATACAAAGTGTTGAATGATAAGAGATTCAGAGATGAATATGACAGTCTCACCTCACAAACTTTTCAGTCATGTGGAAGATATGGAGATGTTTACAAGTGACTAGGATGTAAACTATTTGTCCCTTGCTTTAGCAAATATATCATTTATGATACCTAGTGTTGAGTTTTACAGACAGCAGAAATTGACTGGTTCAAGGCTTCCTTTTTGAGGTGGAAATATAATTGTACATTAAAGAAAAAGTTAGCAGGTAAAGAAGGAAGAGGAGGCTATTCAAGACTAAGGTAACAGTATGAATGAAAAGCACAGGAGAATAAGTACCCAATGCATCAGTAATTGTAAGTAATCTCACAGACATGAAATAAAGGTTGCAAAGACAATCTTGAAATGTCAAAGGACTTAGAACCAGATAGTGGAGGAAATTAAACAATAAGCTTTTACTTTTTCAGTTGGTAATTAACTGTCAAAAGTGTTATAATTTGCTTCCTCTGATTATGGGGATCAGAATCCACAAACTTTGCTCTCACCTACTCCAAAACCCTGTCCAACTCCAGAAAATAGAGAGGTTAGTAAATTATTCTCATTTTATAGAACTGCTTCTTTCATGACAAAAAAATGAGGTGGAAAAATCTATTTTCCAAGAAATCATATTTGATAATATTTATATCTTCCCAATTGGCTATAAAGTTTAATTAATTTTCCCCTATGTTTTCTTCAGGTCATAATTATTTGTGCCCAAATGACTGGCTGTTGAACCAAGGGAAATGTTACTATTTTTCAACTTCTTTTAAAACGTGGAAAGAGAGTCAACGTGACTGCACACAGCTACAGGCGCATTTACTGGTGATTCAAAATTTGGATGAGCTGGTGAGAAATCAAAAACAGGATCTAACTGCACAGGAAAAACTTGCTAGATGCAGGTTCACTGTCTAAGAAGCATGGGAGGGGCCTGGCGCGGTGGCTCATGCCTGCAATCCCAGCACTTTGGGAGGCTGAGGCGGGAGGATCAGGAGGTCAAGAGATCGAGACCATCCTGGCCAACATGGTGAAACCCTGTCTGTACTAAAAGTACAAAAAATTAGCCGGGCGTGGTGGTGCGTGCCTGTAGTCCCAGCTACTCAGGAGGCTGAGGCAGGAGAATTGCTTGAAAGGAAAATGGAAGTTGCAGTGAGCCGGGATCGCGCCACTGCACTCCAGCCTGGTGATAGAGCAAGACTCTGTCTCAAAAAAAAAAAAAAAAAGAAGAAGCATGGGAGGTTTATTGTCATTGCTTTTGAACATGTATTAGCCGTAAGGTAGTTACTCTTGTTTATGAAAATGCTAATGTATATAAAAATATATTTTATTAATGCCTGGCACAGAGATTTACTCTGTAGAAGACATCAAAATTTGTTTAAACAAATGAATGAATAAATACACCATTTTCTCTGCAGAAGTTCATACAGAAGAGTTTAAAACCTGGGCATTTTGGTTGGATTGGATTACATGTTACACGTGTTACATCCCAAGGAAACCTATGGATGTGGATAGATGAACGCTTTTTAGTTCCACAATTGTGAGTAGTTATTTGTAAGGGAGGGGTGATAATGTTTATTGATAGAATTGTTTTTTAAATTACACTTCCTTACTTTCCATTCTTTTTGTCCTTCTTTCTCCATTTTCCCTCATCTTTTTTTTTTTTTTTTTTTTTTTTTGAGACAGAGTCTCATTCTGTCGCCAGGCGCCAGGCTGGAGTGCAGTGGCACAATCTTGGCTCACTGCAACCTCCGCCTCCTGGGTTCAAGCAATTCTTCCGCCTGAGCCTCCCAAGTAGCTGGGATTACAGGCACACGCCACCACGCCCAGCTAATTTTTTAAGTTTTAGTAGAGATGAGGTTTCACCATGTTGGCCAGGATGGTCTCGATCTCTTCACCTCGTAATTCGCCCGCCTCGGTCTCCCAAAGTGCTGGGATTACAGGCTTGAGCCCCCGCGCCCGGCCATTTTCCCTCATCTTTAATTTTGTTTTCTTTTTTTCCTTTCTAGCTCTCTCTTTTCTTTTTTCCTTTCCCCTACCTTTTGTTTTTTTGCTTCCTCTCTTCTTTTATATGAACTGATTTTGAACAATGGGAATGGAAAGCATTTGTCATCTGGCATTTTAATTGTCCAAACTTCATAATAATTTTTAAATTTCTAAACTGATTTAAATCTCATTTGAAATAATATTATGCAAATCTTTTTATATGGCAAATGCAAAGACAAAATTCGCCTGTAAATAAAAGCAGCTGGAATATGTAGAAAGGTCTAAAGTTGAAATCAGAAAACATGAATTTAAAAATTTTGGCCTTCAAAAATTCAACTAAACATGTTGATGCCCCTTCCTTCCTTTCTTCCTCCCTCCCTCCCTTTCTTCTTCCTTCCTTCCTTCCTGCCTTCCTTTCTTTTTTTTAGCAGAGCCTTGCTCTGTGGCCCAGGCTGGAGTGCAGTGGCATGATCATAGCTCACTTGATAATGCAACCCTTCCGCCTCAGCCTCCAGAGTAGCTAGGACTACAGGTGTGTGTCAGTACACCCGGCTAACTTTTTTTTTTTGAGACCGAGTTTCACTCTTGTTACCCAGGCTGGAGTGCAATGGCGCCATCTCGGCTCACCGCAACCTCCGCCTCCTGGGCTCAGGCAATTCTCCTGCCTCAGCCTCCTGAGTAGCTGGGATTACAGACACGCGCCACCATGCCCGGCTAATTTTTTGTATTTTTAGTAGAGACGGGGTTTCACCATGTTGACCAGGATGGTCTCGATCTCTTGACCTCGTGATCCACCCGCCTCGGCCTCCCAAAGTGCTGGGATTACAGGCTTGAGCCACCGCGCCCGGCCTCTGGCTTTTTGTGTGCTTTGTAGAGACGGGTTTTCTCCATGTTGCCCAGGCTGGTTTCCGGCTCCAAACTATCACCCACCCCAGCCTCCCAAAGTGCTGCGATTACAGGTGTGAGCCACCACTCCCAGCCTGATACCTGTATATCAGTATTAAAAGAACAATGGTACTTTCTTTACATTGTTCTGTGAACAACATGAGGTATTGCATGTAAGAGTGCTTTCAAATTCGGAAGTGTCACATTTAGACATTTTCTTCTGTACTTTCATTTATCAGTCATATTGCTGGAACATTTGAGATGTGCTGAAAGCAAAGAACGAGGAGTGATAGTTCATTTCAGTTGATAGTTATCTACTTCTAGGTACATCTGTTCTACATTTATTATCATTCTTCATAAACATAAAACTAACATATGAAGTTGTATACATTTCCTGGATCTGCTTTTAATACAATATTTGAAAAATAAGTAGTATTTCTTACTAATTTTTATTATAATTCATACTATTTTAATTTTTTTTTTTTACTTTTTTGGAAACTAGTATTACTATAAAGGTAACATATCCCTTTTAAAAGCTTATCATTTAAAGGAAAACACACATGCAGGTGGTTATAATAGTATTCAGTTTATATTTTCTTAAATTATCATTAGTAACTAGAAAAAATAGTTCATGAAATAGCTCTCTTCAGTCATTCCATTCATACATCATGCATCGACCTACCTTATATTGTGGAAGTTATATAAGAAATTTAAGAGTCATCTAACAGGTTTTACTTTGACTTAAACAAAATCCTGGGTGGCTGGCTGCCTCCCAGTTCACATTGTTATAGCACATCTATCATTGCGTAGTTTTTTTTTTTTTTTTTTTTTTTTTTTTTTAAATGGGGTTTCACCATTATGGCCAGGTTGGTTTTGAACTCCTGGCCTCAAGTGATCCACCCACCCTGGCCTCCCAAAGTGCTAGGATTACAGGCGTGAGCCACCACACCCGGCCCTATCATTGTGTAGTTTTTATCGAAAACATTTATTTTGGCATCTACTTACTGTACACAAAATTATTTATGCTGCTATGTGGAAAATGAATAGATGGGAGACAAAATTGCAACTACGGTCAGTTCGAAGGCTATGACTAGAGACGAGGGAGAGATAACGGTAGCTTGAGTCTAAACTGAGAAGCGGGGAGAAGTGAATGGATAGCAGGGATAATCTGGAAATAGAATACTCAGGTGTTGCAGGTACATACAATGAGAGGTTTGAGAGGTAAGGAAGAAGCTGGGATGTCTTCTAGTCTAGCTTGAGCTTGCATGGCGTTGTTACTAAGATAGGAAAGAGAAGAGGCTGTATTAACAATGAAAATTCCATTCTAAAACATGTGCAAAATGTTGGCTGCTGAAGAATTACCTATAAAAGTTTGGCTGGAGAAAACTTTAAAAGATACCAACATTGGGCCGGGCACAGTGGCTCATGCCTGTAATCCCAGCACTTTGAGAGGTCAGGAGATCGAGACTAACTGGGCCAACATGGTGAAACCCCGTGTCTATGAAAAATACAAAAATTAGCTGAGTGTAGGGGCAAGTGCCTGTAATCTCAGCTACTTGGGAGGCTGAGGCAGGACAATGGCTTGAACCAGGGAGTGGAAGGTTGCAGTGAGCTCAGACGCCAAAAAAAAAAAAAAAAAAAAAAAAAGATACTATCATCATTTTAAGATAGATGCTCAAATATCTATTCTTTATCTCTTAGGTTTTCGGTGATTGGACCAACTGATGACAGGAGCTGTGCTGTTATCACAGGAAAGCAGGTGTATTCTGAAGACTGTAGCTCCACATTTAATGGCATTTGCCAGAGAGATGCGATCTTGACACACAATAGAACCAGTAGTGTGTAAATGTACAACAAAATGTAGAAATACCTTACATGTTAAAGCAGAGCCAGATTTTAAAGACTTGGGTATTTTAGGTAAAGTTTCTAAAAGAAAGTTTCTGCTAACAGACACCACCTAAAAAGGAGAAAAGTATTTTGTCCTAAATTGACTCTCAAGACAACTTCTGAACAGAACTTTTACTCCATTCTTGGATTTCTGTTTTGTCTTTTCCATGGCTGTACAATAAAAGCTAAATAAAAAGCTAATAGTTATTTAACAGTTTCATATTTTTTGCATTTAAAATAGCATAGAATAAGACAACTTTAAAGGAATGTTATTTAACTATATGTGCTGTGTGTTAGATGAGAAAGAAAGAAGTAACTTATGTACAAATATAATATTTGAAGCATGGAATAATTGTGAATTTTTCATTTGTGTATTGTAGCCTGAAGTGTTTGGTAGGGAGTGGGTGCTGAGAAATAACCTAATTGATATAATGCAAACTAATCAGGTGATGGATAAACTAAAAGCTCAGACCTCACCACTATGTGATATATCTATGTAACAAAATTATACTTGTATCTCTTAAATTTGTACAAATAAAATAAAATAAAGTCATGTGGCCAAATATTTTAACAACAGTAAAAACAAATCTGTGCATGTAAATAAAGAATTGAAAGAAATATGTATGGATGTTAACAGTACCTATTTTTTTCTTTAGTGAAATACAAATTATTTCATTTTCTATCCAAATATAAAATGCTAATGTAATGCTTTAAAATTAAAAAAATATAATAACTCATTTTTATTTTTAATATATTTATTCTTTAAAGCTTTATTGAGGTCAAACTGATATATAAAATATTGCACATACTTAATGTATACTTTCTGGTGAGTTTGTATATACCTGAAATGCCATTGCCACGGCTAAGCTACTAAACCTATTAATCACCTCCAAATATGTCCTTATGGTCTTTGTGTCTACCTGGTTTTAGTTTTATAAGAACACAACATGAAATATAATTTCTTAATTTTTCTTTTTTTGGAAATAGAGTCTCACTCTATTGCCCAGGTTGGAGTGCAGTGGTGTGATCTCAGCTCACTGCAACCTCCACCTCCTAGATTTAAGCAATTCTTATGCCTCAGCCTCCCGAGTAGCTGGGACTACAGGCATGTGCCACTATGGCCAGCTAATTTTTGTATTTTTTACTAGAGACAACGTTTCACCATGTTGGCCAGGCTGGTCTCAAACTCCTGACCTCAAGTGATCTGCCCACCTCTGCCTCTCAAAGTGCTGGGATTATAGGCGTGAGCCACCACGCCCAGCCTCTTAAAGAACTTACTCATCTTGCATAAATAAAACTTTCTCTGCTTGGAGCAACAATTTCCCATTTCCCTTTCCCTCTAGCTCCTGGAAACTAGCATGTTATTCTCTGTTTCTGGGGGTTTTATTTTTAATGGAAAACCAAAAAACCTTATTTTTCAGTATACTAAAAAATTAAATTTAATCTCATTCTGTCACTTTTTCTATGTGATGCAGGATTTTTGCGACTTAGTTGAGCTAAAATCCAGGTTCTTGTCACACAAGGAAAAATTAGGTAGGTGGACACACTGAAAGGTGAGGAGAGCAGAATTTATCAAAAGAAAGCGCTCAGGAAAAAAAAAAAAGTGTAGGAAGGCATCCTGCCAACAGTCCCAGCTGGCATATTGAATACTAGGCCACCACACACGCAAGCCGAAGAGGCCAGGCTCCCCTACCTGCATAAGGTTTGAATTCCTGGTAGCTCCACCCCATTCTCCCAGTGTGCAAGCAGGCCCCCAGTCCATTTTGTGCAGGATCCCTCATCTGCACAAAAGCATCTGATGTAAACACTTGTGGGGTGAGTCAGAGATTCTCTGAAGCTCCTCCCTTATCTGCCTCCTTCATCTATCACATGTGTTTTCTATTCCTTGGATTTTAACTCCTTCTAAGCATTTGGTGGAATAATAGACCAGGCACATGACTATAGTTATGCCATTTCTTTGTTAAAGTCTCCCATTATTATAGTGTGGGAGTCTAAGTCTCTTTGTAGGTCTCCGAGAACTTGCTTTATGTATCTGGGTGCTCCCGTATTGGGTGCGTATATATTCAGAATAGTTAGCTCTTCTTGTTGCATTGATCTCTTTACCATTATGCAGTGCCTTTTTTTGTCTCTTTTGATCTTTTTTGATTTAAAGTCCGTTTTATCAGAGACTAGGATCGCAACTCCTGCTTTTTTGTGCTTTCCATTTGCTTGGGAAATATTCCTCAATCGCTTTATTTTGAGCCTATGCTTTGCATGTGAGATGGGTCTCCTGAATACAGCACACTGATGAGTATCGACTGTATCTTTTAATTGGGGGCATTTACTCCATTTACATTTAAAGTTAGTATTGTTATGTGTGCATTTGATCCTGCCATCATGATGCTAGCTGGTTGTTTTGCCCTTCAGTTGATGCAGTTTCTTCATAGCGTTGACGGTCTTTACAATTTGTAATGTCTTTGCAGGGGTTGGTACTGGTTGTTCCTTTCCATATTTAGTGCTTCCATCAGGAGTTCTTACGAGGTAGGCCTGGTGGTGACAAAGTCTCTGAGCAGTTGCTTGTCCATAAAGAATTTTATTTCTCATTCGCTTATGAAGCTTACTTTGGCTGGATATGAAATTCTGGATTGAAAATTCCTTTCTTTAAGAGTGTTGAATATTGGCCCCCAATCTCTTCTGGCTTGTAGGGTTTCTGCTGAGAGATCCGCTGTGAACCTGATGTGCTTCCTTTGTGGGTAACCCAACCTTTCTCTCTGGCTGCCCTTACCATTTTTTCCTTCATTTCAACCCTGGTGAATCTGATGTTTATATGTCTTAGGGTTGCTCTTCTTGAGAAGTATCTTTGTGGTGTTCTCTGTATTTCCTGAATTTTAATGTTGGCCTGCCTTGCTAGGTTGGGGAAGTTCTCCTGGGTAATATCCTGAAGAGTGAGTGTTTTCCAACTTGGTTTCATTCTCCCAGTCACTTTTGGGAACACCCATCAAAGGTAGAGCTGGTCTTTTCACATAATTCCATATTTCTTGGAGGCTCTGTTCATTTCTTTTCACTCTTTTTTCTCTAATGTGTCTTCTAGCTTTATTTCATTGAGTTGATCTCAATCTCTGATATCCTTTCTTCCACTTGATTGATTGAAACTTGTATATGCTTCATGAAGTTCTCATGCTGTGTTATTCAGCTCCATCAGGTGGTTTATGTTCTTCTCTACATTGGTTATTCTAGTGACAGTCCCTAATGGCCTCCCTTGGCTAGAAGAGGGAGTTCCCCAACCCATCCCACTTCCCAGGTGAGGTGATGCCCCACCCTGTTTGGGATCACCCTCCTTGGGCTGTACCCACTGTCTAACCAGTGCCAATGAGATGAACCAGGCACTTCAGTTGCAAATGCGGCAATCACCTGCCTTCTGCACTGCTCTCACTGTGAGCTGCCCACTGGAGCTTTTCCTATTCGGCTACCTTGCCAACAATCCCTCTAGTAACTTTTCTTTTTATTTTAGAAGTGTGACAGTTATTTTCAAGTTTTTTTGATGGGGGGATGGTGGGGAGATTGGGGAGGGATAACATGGGGAGAAATGGCAGATATAGGTGATGAGGGACAGAGGCAGCAAACTACATTGCCATGTACATACATATGCAACAATCCTGCATGATCTGCACATGCACCCCAGAATCTAAAGTTAAAAAAAATTAGAAAAACAACTTTTACTGAAATAAAAATTAAAATAAAATAAAACTACTTACGTTTGCTGCAAATCCACTTGATATCAATAAGTCCTCTGGAACTATAGACTCCATCAACATTCAGGAAAGCATAGAATCCATTCCCTGTAATTTCAAACCTGAAAAAGAACACTCTAAATCAGTCTGGAAATCACTTACAGCTGTAATCAAAAAGACAGTTAAGAGTAGAATGATTTGAAATATACCAAACAGTGAGTTCCCAGAAAATATACCCACCCATCTTCATATGCTACATTAAAATACCTGGCATACTAAGGAAAAATAAGACTGAATATAAGTGTTTTAAGTGTTTGTTGGAGTTAAAATCTGTAACCCTATTTAAAACAATTTGTAGATAGGCAGACAGACACATAATAGACAGGGGCAAAACCATTGTTTCCTTTCTTTCTTCCTTCCTTCCTTCTTTCCTTTCTTCCTCTCTATATGGAAAGAAAGAGAGTGTCTGCCAAATTCAAAGATCTCTGAAATTTAAAAAACTCAGTTTTCTGGCCTAATTTTAGTAGATATACTTTTTCTTTTCTTTTCTTTTTCTTTTTTTTTTTTTTGGAGTTTCACTCTTGTTACCTAGGCTGGAGTGCAATGGCGCGATTTTGGCTCACTGCAACCTTCGCCTCCTTGGTTCAGGCAATTCTCTTGCCTCAGCCTCCCAAGTAGCTGGGACTACAGGCACGCGCCACCATGCCCAGCTAATTTTTTGTATTTTTAGTAGAGACGGGGTTTCACCATGTTGACCAGGATGGTCTCGATCTCTTGATCTCGTGATCCATCTGCCTCGGCCTCCCAAAGTGCTGGGATTACAGGCTTGAGCCACCACACCCAGCCCAGATGTACTTTTTCAAAAAGTAAAAATAAGATTTATATTTATTTGGTACTTTTGAAATATACTGCAGTAGAAACCTAAGAGACGGCTTACAATATTTTTTTTTTACATTTCATCTTCATGGATAGGAAAAATCAATATCATGAAAATGGCCATACTGTCCAAAGTAATTTATAGATTCAATCCAATTTCCATCAAACTACCACTGACATTCTCGACAGAATTATAAAAAAATTACTTTACATTTTATATAAAACCAAAAAAGAGGCCATATAGCCAAGAAAATCCTAAACAAAAAGAATGAGCTGCAGGCATACATTACCTGGCTTCAATCTATGCTACAAGGCTACAGTAACCAAAACAACATGGTACTGGTACCAAAACAGATATATAGACCAATGGAACACAACAGAGACCTCAGGAATAATGCCACACATCTACAACCAGTTGATCTTTGACAAACCTGACAAAAACAAGAAATGGGAAAAGAATTCCCTGTATAATAAATGGTGCTGGGAAAACCGGCTAGCCATATGCAGAAAACTAAAACTGAATCCCTTCCTTACATCTTACAGAAAAATTAACTCAAGATGGATTAAAGACTTAAATGTAAAACCCAAAACCATAAAAACCCTAGAAGAAAACTTAGGCAATACCATTCAGGACATAGGCATGGGCAAAGACTTCATGACTGAAACACCAAAAGCAATTGCAACAAAAGCTGAAATTGACAAATGGAATCTAATTAAACTAAGCCTCTGCACAGCAAAAGAAAGCATCATCAGAGTGAATAGGCAGCTGACAAAATGGGAGAAAATTTTTGTAATCTACCCATCTGACAAAGGTCTAATATCCAGAATCTACAAGGAACTTAAACAAATTTACAAGAAAAAAAACTATCAAAAAGTGGGCAAAGGATATAAACATCCACTTCTCAAAATAAGACATTTATACAGCCAACAAACATATATATATAAAAGCTAAGCATCACTGATGATTAGAGAAATGCAAATCAAAACCACAATGAGATGCCATCTCATGCCAGTCAGAATGGCAATTATTAAAAACTCAAGAAACCATAGATGCTGGTGATGATGAGGAGAGATAGGAATGCTTTTACCCTGTTATGGGAATGTAAGTTAGTTCAACCGTTGTCGAAAACAGTGTGGTGATTCCTCAACCATAGTGAACCAGAAATACCATTTGACCCAGCAATCCCATTACTAGATATATACCCAAAGGAATACAATTATTCTATTATAAAGACACACGGACACATATATTTACTGCAGCACTATTTACAATAGCAAAGACATGAAATAAACCCAAATGGGCTGTCAATGATAGACTAGTTAAAGAAAATGTGATACATGGTGGTACCACAGAATACTATGCAGCCATAAAAAGGAATGAGTTCTTGTCCTTTGCAGGGACATGGATAAATCTGGAAGTCATCATCCTCTGCAAACTAACACAGGAACAGAAAACCAAACACTGGATATTCTCACTCATAAGTGGGAGTTGAACAATGAGAACACATGGACACCTGGAGGGGAACAACACACACCCAGGCCTGTCAGGGAGTTGAGAGGGTGAGGGGAGGGACAGCATTAAGACAAATAGCTAATGCATGTGGGGCTTAAAAACTGGATGATGGGTTGATAGGTGCAGCAATCCACTACGGCACATACTTACCTATGTAACAAACCTACACATTCTGAACTTGTATCCCAGAACTTACAGTAAAATTATATATATGTATATATATATAGTTTTTAAATTAGTTTTCTTTGTTGATAACCAAATCTTTACTTATTTATAAATACAATTTGTCCTGTCTTGCATATTTCAATATTTATGTTATTGGTTGTTTTTCTTATCTAGCACTTAACTAAAATAATAAGGCAGAAATACATATGTATCTAAGAAACAGTTATATATATAAATAAAAAAGTAAACTAATAAAAAAATCAAAAACTTAAAAAATAAATACAATATTGTTTATGATGAACATTTGGAAAGCTAAAGACAAGAAACTGTTTTATCCCAAGAAACACTTTTAACAATTTTAATTCACTCAGGAAATGTTTACAGAAATTAAATAAAATAAGCAATAAATAAATAAAAATAAATACTATTCATTGTGGCAGACATTTGAAATGTTAAAGACAATTATTATAAGGTCTTTAAAGACAAAGAGATCTTATATAAACTTAATTAGCTGGAAAGAGGTACAAGTAATACGAGTTTGGGTTTAAAATTGGCAGAATAGTTGAATTTGAATTAGCAAAAGAGCACTTATTGTCAAGCAAGAGCTTATTGTAAAGCAAGAGCTTGACAATAAAGATAAAATAACAAATAAAAATAAAAATGGAAAATTTCACCGTGTGTTATTTAACAAGGTGAGAAGAAAATGGCTTACTCCAGCATGTGCTTCAATGTGAAAGGGCCCATGTCATAGATAGAAGACTGAGAAGTTAACTACACATAGAATAGAGAAAGATTTGTTTATATTAATACAACTGAAAATGGTTTAAACATTTTTATGCAACATCAGAATAAGAACATTCCTAATACATTGGAAACTCACCAATTATTGAATGTGGTGCCATTTGTCCATTTCCAAGAATCTTCTGGTTTCCTGCTTAGTCCAATCCAGTGCATATCTGTTCCTGCGAACCTCTTCAAAAATTCCTTTCACAAAGCAAAGGGAATCATCAATTACTTAAAATGTTACAGTACATTGCTGAACATGCTTCACACCCCAATTATTCCATCTTTTAGGATTCACATTCTGATTTGTCTTCCCTGAGGCTTCTAAAATAACAAACGGCACAGACGTTGATATTTGTTAGTTTTATCAGAAAGATTTTCATTTTGCTTTTCTGCATCTTTTTTTTTTTTTTTTTTTTTTTTTTTTTTTTTTTTTTTGAGATGGAATTTCGCTCTTGTTGCCCAGGCTGGAGTGCAATGGTGCGATCTCGGCTCACCACAACCTCCTCCTCCTGGGTTCAGGCAATTCTCCTGCCTCAGCCTCCTGAGTAGCTGGGACTACAGGCGTGCGCCACCATGGCCAGCTAATTTTTTGTATTTTTAGTAGAGACGGGGTTTCACCATGTTGACCAGGATGGTCTCAATCTCTTGACCTTGTGATCCACCCGCCTCGGCCTCCCAAAGTGCTGGGATTACAGGCTTGAGCCACCGCGCCGGGCCTGCTTTTCTGCATCTTAAGTATCTTCAAATAGTTGGACTATAATCAGGTAATTGATGCTGAGCTACACTCTGAATATCTTTAAAGGTAACTTCCATGTCTCTAGTTGGAAATTAATGACAAAACCGTATTTGAGTTTATTTCCTTCAAGTTCAAATTCCTAAACCATTAATACGTTCTAGTCACAGATTGAATGACATAGGCTATCAATTAATAGGATGTTAAATTTGCCTAGATGACAATATAAAACCTTAGCAAATTCTATGAGATTGGATACAGCATCTTCTTCAAGAATGATAGAGAACTAACGTTTATATATATTTTTGTGTGCACAGGTACTTTTCCAAAAATCATAGAAGAGGGATTGCAGGGGGAGGAGTTTAATGGAAAGTGTAAGTACTATTAGAATAGAAAAACCCAGTGAATTACTTTGATATACTATAATATGAATGTCACTGATACTGTATTTTTAACATAATCAGATATGAAACTAACTTCTATATGAATATAATTTACTGAAAGAAATGTATTAAGTGATGGGTTTAGTCATTCCTTTATCAGCTTTTTGCTATTGAACCACAAACCTCTTCATCAGCTTTTTGTTCTTTAACTTGTATTTTAGATTCTGGGGTATATGTGAAGGTTTGTTACATGGGTGAGCTTGTGTCATGAAGGTTTGTTTTACAGATTATTTCATCACCCAGGTATTGAGCCATTACCCAATAATTATATCTGTCATGTCTGTCTCACATAGTTCTGGGTTAATCACGGCAATGTGCTAATTGAGATCAACAGGAGAGAACCAGAAAGTTTTTTACATACATCATTTACATAAGTACTGAACAAACTTCCGTATTAAGCAATTAACTAATTAAACGTGACTCTTATATAATCCTAACTGTCAGTAGTAATTTTAGATCAAAGATAAAAGTAGACAGACTTATTAGTTAAGGGAAGACATTCAAAACAATTAATTAATCCATAATAAAAGAATTATAAAGTCAATCATGTAAACACTACCGCAACAATTGCGGTTCTGCTTTCAGCTCTTTGAGGAATTGCGACCCTGCTTTCCACAGTAGTGGGACTTATTTTCACTCCCACCAACAGTGTATAAGTGTTCTCTTTTTTCTGCAACCTCGCCAGCATCTGTGGTTTTTTGGCTTTTTACTAATATCCATTCTGACTGGTGCGAGATGATATCTCATTGTGGTTTTGATTTGCTTTTCTCTAATTATCAGTGATGCTGAGCTTTTTTCCATATGTTTGTTGGCGGCATGTATGTCTTCTCTTAAAAAGTGCCTGTTTATGTCCTTTGCCCAGTTTTAATAGGGTCGTTTTTCTCTTGTAAATTTGTTTAAGTTCCTTTGTTTTGGCAGATGCATAGCTTGCAAAATTTTTCTCTTATTCTGCAGTTTGTTTACTGTGTTAATAGTTTATTTCGCTGTGCAGAAGCTCTTACATTTAGTTAGATACCACCTACCAATTTTTGCAATTTTTTTTTTCACTATTGCTTTTGTTGTCATTGTCATGAAATTTCCCTGTTTCAATGTCCAGGACGGTATTGCTTAGGTTTTCTTCCAGGCTTTTTATAGTTTTGGGTTTTACATGTAGAATTGACTTTTGTATATAGTATAAGAAAGGAGTCCTGCTTCTAATCTTTTGCATATGGCTAGCCAGTTATCCAGCACAATTGATTAAATAGGGAGCTCTTTTCCTATTGCTTGTTTTTGTCAGTTTTGTCAAAGATGAGATGGTCACAGGTGTGTGACCTTATTTCTGGGCTCTCTATTCTGTTCCATTGGTCTATGTGCCTGTTTTTGTACCAGTACCACGTTGTTTTGGTTACTGAAGCCCTGCAGTATAATTTGCAGTCAGATAACATGATGCTCCCAGCTTTCTTCTTTTTGCGTAGGATTGCCTTGGCTATTTGGGGGCTTTTATGATTCCATACGAATTCTAAAATAGTTTTTTCTAGTTTTGTGAAGAATGTCATTGGTAGTTTGATAGGAATAGCATTGAATTTCTATCCTTCAATATCATTCAACTCCAGTCAGTTCAGCCCGGTTAGAACTCTTGTTGGAGAACTGAGGCAATTGTTTGGAGAACACAGGACACTCTGGCTATTTGAGTTACTGGAGTTTGGCATTAATTCTCTCATCTCTCTGTGGGTGTTACTTTAACTGCAGTGCATATTTAGTACTGTCAACAGACCTCTTTCATGTATGTTTTCACAGGGGTGAGTGATGGCTGTAGATTGTGGCCTGGCACTCCTAGGCTGCCCACTGCAGCTCTTGGGTGATCTCAGTGTTTATGTTTCCTCCCCAACTTTGAGGCAGCAATGGAAGGGACCTTAGTAGTAGTTAAGGCCAACAGTCCTTTGCTTTTCTCCTGGGAGCTTCACTCCAGAGAGATACAAGTAAGCAATCATTCAGTGCAATCAGCCTAGGATGGAGAGTCTGTGCTGCGGGCCCAAGCTGGGGGCTCCATGTCTGGTCAAGGTGAGTGGGCAGAGCCTGTGAAGATGGCCTGGCCTCCTCTCCTGCAACTTACTGGAGGTGTGGATAAGAGACTTAGGGTCTCTGCTCCTTCGTTAATCTGAGGGCAGCAAGGGTGGTTCCAGGGCAGAGGCAGTGGCAGAGAGGTTTTCATTGCCCCTGGAGGCTCTGTCCAGGACATTCCAGAGTTGCTACTGGCTTGACAGCTCTTGAGAGGGGCGGTTGCAGACTGAAACCTGGAGGACCCTCCTAGTGAAGAGACAAGGAGATGGGCACCCATGTAATAGCCTGGCCACTTTTTCCTGGGGCTGCCGTGGCATGGTGGTGGCCATCTCCAGTCCCTATTCACCTTGGATTTTCCAATACCTGTAGGTACCAATGGTGAAGCCTGCAAAACAGCAAAGATGGTGGCCTGCCCCTCCCTCTGTGAGCTCTGTGTCTGGCAGGTACATACCTATTGCCTGCCGGAACACACCTGAAGGAAGTGGCTAGCGACCCTGATTGGATACCCTGCCAAGTTAGGAGGAATGGGATTGGGTAACCACTTACAAAAGCAGTCTGGTCACTTTTTTTGCAGAGCAGCTATGCTGTACTGGGGGGCCACTTCCGCCCCTGGTCAACATGGACTCTCCAAAGCCTGAAGGCTGGATGGCTAAGTCACCCAAACAGCAAAGATGGAGGCCCACATTTCCCTCTAGGAGTTGTCTTAGGGTGGTGTAATGCTGTTATTGATGGCTGGCTAGAATTCCAAGCCAGTAAGTCCTATCCTGTGAGGTGTCATGGAAGTGGGTCCTGCAGAATGTCGCTGCTCAGCCCCCCGGATTCAGCCCCTTTACTAGGGACGTGTAAGGTAGTGTATAACCTCCCTCTTTGCTGGAGTTGCAACTACTTTTGCTAGGAAGCCTGGAAAGCCTGGCTAAGGCTCCCAGGTCTCTGCACGTGCCTGAGTGACTGCTCTCCTGAGGCTCCAGGTAGCTCCGTCAGACTGAAGGCCCTGGTGGAGTTGGTTCACAAGGGGATCTCCTGACCTGAGGGTTGCAAAGATCCATGGGAGAAACATGGGATCCTGGGGTTGGACATTCACTCACCACTTCCCTGGGCAAGGAGAGGTTCCCCTGGCTCTGTGTCATTCCCAGGTTGGCCATCTGCCTGCCTGGCTTTTCTCCATTGTCCATGGGTTGAGTGGTTTCCATGATGAGTTCCATTGCGTGTACCCCAGATGTTTCAGTTGAGAGTGCTGTATTTACTTACCACTTCAGTTCCTCTCCGTGAAAGCTGTGCACACCAACTACTTCCAGCCGGCAATCTTGCCCACTCCCCAATCCCCAGCTTTTCTGTAAAAACTAACTAGTCTGTTTTCTTACTCCATGTCCCTAGAGTCCACGCATTAATTCACTCGCTTCTTCAAAGTGCACATATTTCCTTCATATCCTTGTCTCTAAATTTCAAGAGCTGTATTTTATTTTTTTCAGTCTATGCTTGGTAGAATGCAAATTGAAATGGTTTAAAAAGTAATCTACTTAATAATCTAAGAAAATTTAATGAAGACATTTAGATACAGAAACAGTATGCATTGTGGTAAAGGACATGGCATCACTAGTCATCTTGCCTGGGTTCAAATCCCAGCTCAACAATTTACAGCTGTAACATTGGCTGGGTTACATAACATTTCTGTGACCCACTTTCCCCTCTTTAAAGTAGGGAGAGTTATATAACTCCTTCATGGGGGTTACTAGAAGATTACATAAGTTTCAGTGCTTAGAACACTGTTTAGCATATATTGTCATATACAGTTGACTTAAACAATGTGGCAGTTAGGGGCACTGACCCCCTGTGCAGTCAAAAGTCGTATATAACTTTTAACTCCTCAAAAAGTCAACCATGCTGGGCATGGTAGCTCAAGCTAATTACAGCACTTTGCGAGGCTGAGGAAGGAGGCTTGCTTAAGCCCAGTTTGAAATCAGTCTTGGCAATGTAGTGAGACCTCATCTCTGCAAAAAATAAACAAAATTAGCCAGTGTGGTGTGCACCTGTAGTCCCAACTACTCAGGAGGCTCAGGTGGGAGGATTGCTTGAGCCCAGGATTTCAATGCTGCAGTGACCTGAGACTGCACCACTGCACTCCAGCCTAGGCAACAGAGTGAAACCCTTTCTTAAAAAGAAAACTAAAACAGAAAACATAGCCACTAGTAGCCTACTGTTGACTGGAAGTCTTACTGATAATATGAAAGCAAATTAACACATATTTTGTAGGTTATTTGAATTATATGCTGTATTCTTACCAAAAACAAAGCTAGAGAAAAGATGATATTAAGGAATCATAAAGAAGAGAAAATTTATTTACTATTCATTAGGTGAAAGTGAAGCATTCTAAGTGTCTTCATCCCCATTGTTTTCATATTGAGTAGGCTGAAGAGTGGGGAAGAAGAGGAGGGGCTGCTCTTGGTGTCTCAAGGGTGGCAGAGGGAAGAAAATCCATGTATAAGTGGATCCACACTGTTCAAACTCACACTGTTCAAGGCTCAGTTGTATTATAGTGTTAGCTATTATTGCTTTCATTCTCTTTTCATAAAAACATAATCTCTGAAATTACTGAAGACTTTTCTGTTTTCTTACCATATCTTTTTGTGTATCAATCTGAGCAAGTTCTGATTTCTGTAAACTGCAAAACATTTTACTGGCTGTCCAATTTCTGGTATCATTAGAAAAATAGAAGCACTTATCTCTAACTCCAAACCAGTCCTCTGAACAGGCCACAGGTTTAGCACAGTTTGAGCGTATGCCTGAAAAAAAGAAAGAAAGAAGATAAAGCATAAGTTAAAAAGTGTTTCTACTCATTCTACTGTATTAATTTTATTTTTTACCTCCATGGTTTGAGACCTGTAAATTAGCTTCACCCCTAGAATGAAGATTAATTAATTTCCCCCATCTGTAAGGAAGATCATTTAGTGATCAAGCAGTATATGCTTTTTTTTTTTCTATTTTCCTGGCTTCTATTTTGAGAAATGGTGCTACTCACGTAGGGCAAACTCAAATGTAGGGCAAACTCCAGAGCCTGCACTCCCTACTCCACCATGATGTATTTTTGTTGTTGTTGTAGTGCTCAGAAGTGGATACACACACTATGCAGGGTGTAAAACATATTGTGTTTCAACTCTCTTTCTTTGTGCCCTTTTTTAATTTAAATTTTTGATTTAAGTTCTGGGATACATCTGCAGAACGTGCAGGTTTGTTGCATAGTTACACACGTGCCATGGTGGTTTGCTGCACCCATCAACGCATCATCTAGTTTTAAGCCCTGCATGTATTAGCTATTTATCCTAATGCTCTCTCTCCCCTTACCCACTACCCTTTCACAGGTCCCGGTGTGTGATGTTCCCCTCCCCGTGTCCATGTATTTTCATTATTCAACTCCCACTTGTGAGTAAGAACATGCGGTGTTTGGTTTTCTGTTCCTGCGTTAGTTTGCTAAGGATGATGGCTTCCAGCTTCATCCATGTCCCTGCAAAGGAACTCAATTTTTTTATGGCTGCATAGTGTTCCATGGTATATACATGTCATATTTTCTTTATCCAGTCTGTCATTGATGGACATTTGACTTGGTTCCAAGTCTTTGCTATTGTAAACAGTGCTGCAGTAAACATGCATGTGCATGTGTCTTTAGAGTAGCATGACTTATAATCCTTTGAGTATATACCCAGTAATGGGATTGCTGGGTCAAATGGTATTTCTGGTTCTAGATCCTTGAGGAATCGCCATATTACCTTCCACAATGATGGAACTAATGGACACTCCCACCAACAGTGTAAAAGTGTTCCTATTTCTCCACAGCCTTGCCAGCATTTATTGTTTCCTGACTTTTTAGTAATCACAATTATGATTGATCTGAGATGGTATCTCATTGTTGTTTTGATTTGCATTTCTCTAATGACCAGTGATGATGAGCTTTTTTTCATACGTTCGTTGGCCACATAAATATCTTCTTTTGTCTTTCTGCTCTTTTTAATCAACAGGTAAATGAATATTAAAAAAACTTCTTGTAGAAACTCTTGTCCACATTTAACTTCCAGATGTTTGGACACCAATAACATTAAGCTCTAATACTGCAGTGACAGAAGAGACTATAAACAAGAAGACTATCAGTATTCTTGAGAATGACCAAAGCCAAACCAAACCGAAACAAAACAAACAAGAATCAGCAGTGCTAAGCACTAACTGAGCCAAATGTAAGTGCTAAATTAAGCAAAACATGCGTATTGAAAATCAAGTGCTGAGGGCTATTCCACCTTTGGATCCACTTCACAAATAAACCCGTAGTACCCAGAGGAAATTTAACAACTTCATTTTTACAAATATTGCAACTCCTACAATGAGACAATCTTGCAACAAGTCACATATGCCATTATTTCTTCATTTTTTCATTTAACTTAATATGATAGTAAAGAGTTCAGAACATGATGCCCTGAAATACGTCACTCTAGCATATAAACGATTTTGAGTTAAAGGCACTTACAAAACAGCAGATGCAAGACAAAACACTCTGAACTTCCTTCTTTTCTTACAGGCAGGAGATAAAATACCTACGTGAAAGATAGCCTCTCTATACCAGAAGGAAAGTAACAGTCTTATAATCAAGGATAGGTAGCTGAGACCAAAAGAAATGTGTACAAACAACATTGTTTAAACTAACATTTATCTTTCTGGTCACTTTTCCACCCAATTAGTTACCCTAGATCAACCCCCTTTCCTTGCCACATTTTCATAATTCATTACCTTTTGTTTAATTATCTAAATGTTCAACTCTAACTGAATCTTTAGGCTTTCATAAGGAAGACATACATGTCACGTAAAACTCATATTAAATAAATGCATGTGTTTTGCCCAAGTTGATGTATCTTGTGCCCAATTTCATTCTCAGGCCCAGCAGTAAAACCCTGAGAGGGTAGAGGTAAAATTTTGCCTCTCAACTAATAGAAATAAGTAAATGTTTTATAGAACAACGGTTAGTGGCATAACTTACTTTTGATTTAAAAGAAATTAAAGGAATGCTACAATGATGGAAGTATCGCTGCATGATTTTTAAAATGTATCATGCATTACAGTTATACAAACAAGGTTTTTGATCCTAGGTCTGGAATTTATTATTTGTGAGTGGCAACTTACTCATTCTGTCCTGTATATTTTTTGTCTGTAAATGGATTTCCTTATATCTGTGTCCTAGTCTAATGAGGATTAAATACAATTAACAGAATATAGTGTATTTAACATTGGCTTACAAATTCACAAACTCTTAAAAAGAAAATTAGCTGTAACAAGTCCATAAAACTGATGTTTACGTGGGGTTAAAAAAAATAAATATAGAAATTGATCCTCCTGGTCTTAAAGCTTGAAACTTAACATTTGTCTTATTTGAGTTCCTTCTTTAGGAATCTGACCCTTAGGCCTCCCAGATAGTATCAGGAAACTGAAAGTCACCAGATCACCACATCCAGACAATGAGATGCCCAACTCCTCACTGTCATGACTGCCTAACCGACCACCTGCTCGCTGTTGACCCACTCTTCTTTTCTGCCCCTCCCTAATTCCTATTGATCAACTCCCACTCCTCCTTTTTATTGCTCCCTAACTCTTGTTTTCTCACACATAGTTACCTTTCTTTCCTGCTGTATGAACCCCTAATTTTAGTCAGTTGGGTAAGTGAATTTGAGACTGATTTCCCATTCTCCGTGTTGCCATCTCCCAAATAGAAAGTCTTTTTCCCTGGTAATAGTCATCGTCTTGGGGATTGGCTTTCTGTGCCGTGAGCAATGGGACCCAGACTGAATCCCGGGCAATTCAGTAACATAGCTATTGCTATTGCCATCAGGTGGTCATCTGAGAATTTAAGATTATTTTTCTTAAATATGAAGAACTATAAAGTCAAGAACATAATTCTATTGTGAGACTGTGAGTGTTTTAGGGAGAGGCAAGGATTATGGTAAAACCTGTTGTACTGGTAAAAACTTGAGGACAAGTTCACTACAAAACCCTTTAATTACTCCAGGTCTGGGAGATTTGGAGTTAAGCTTGAGATAGAAATGGACCTCTCAGGTGTGAAGAACCATAGAAAGTGTATGAATTAAACCACTTACCTATTATTGTAGAAATCGGCACTATAATAATCAGGGCCCATATACAAAGGCAAATCTTCATCTTGCAAACTGCAAATTAAATAAACACATATTATAAAATTTCTAAATAAACACCGACTGGATATTATTACTGGTGTATTTCTCCCTCATAATTATCAATCAAAAAATCCTCAATAAAAGCATATGCATCTCAAAATCATAAAGAATAGAAAACCATCACAAAGTGCAAGGAAGGTAAGTACTAAAAAAAAAAAAAAAAAAAAAAAAAAAAAAGATTGCTATAGCTGTTCAAACGGAGAGAGGGTGAGTGGAGAACCACTTAGTCTTAGGGGAATGAGGAAGGAAAGGAAAGGTTACTCAAAAGGTGGAAATAGTTTGAATGGGGGATTGTAAGCAAAAGAGCATAAAGATAATCAAAAGATCCATGATGAGCATAAATGTTTATATCAGATATATAAGGCAATAAAATGGAAGACAGTAAAAAAAAGTCACATGGTCATGACAGAAGATTTTAAATGATATATTTTTTTCTTTATTTTTTAAGCCATGACAGAAAGAAACAGTGTGTTTGAGCAAGAGACTATCAAGATAAAGACCATAATTTATTTATTTGTGGTAAGCAGAAAAAATTAGAGAAGACACAGGATTTCCCACTCATGGAAAAGCTATGAGGTTAAGAACAAATAATAATTCTATTAATGATAAAATAATTGTATTTGATGCATTATTAGTAGATGTAGAAACAATCTAGGAAGAATGAGTGTGTACATATATATGTATGTATATATAGATGTGTATATACATATATATGCATGGCTTAGCAATGGGGAGATATTTTGGGAAATGTGCCTTTAGGTGATTTTGTCATTGTGTGAACATCATAGAGTGTACTTACACAAACCTAGACAGTATAGCCTACTAACACCTAAGCTATATATTACAGACTGTTGCTTCTAGACTACAAACCTGGATAGCATGTTATTGTAATAATTACTGTAGGCAATTATAACACAATGTTAAATACTTGCATACCTAAACATAGGGTACAGTAAAAAATACACATAAAAGATCAAAAATGAAACACCTTTACAGGGCAGCTTCATTACAATCTTATGGGACCATTGTCATTATGCAATCTGTCATTGACCAAAACCTTGTTCCGTAGAGCATGACTATATATGTATATAGTGTATATGTGCATAAACATATACTGTGTATATATATACACACATATATATACACACACGTATGCATGCCTGTATGCATATATGCTTCACATGTATCTATATATATACATATGTTCAAATATTAGAAAAGAGGACTTGAAGAAAGAAAAATTGAAAAAGAAGTTATAAGCCTTCTCTGTTTCTTCAGAGCCTAAAGCAGCCTTAGTGAATGAAAACTAAAAAAGTTATTAGTTTTCATGATCACCAGACTATAGATAATGTGTAACAAAGCAATTGCAAGAAAGGATTGAGAGAAGCCAGATTCTAAGATATTTATAAAGAGAATGTTTGATAAGAAGAAGAGTTTGGTAATTTATCTTACATCAAGAGAAACAATAGCTAAAGAGAAAATATAAAATGAATTTTCTTTTTTTGTTTTCAAGATTAGAGAAAAATGAAGAACAAGGAAGAGGAAAAGATAAAATCCACTGCACAAATTTCAGACACTCAAAAGAGTAATGTAACACTTAATATAAAACTCCAATAATGAAGACAATGTGTTTTGAGGGAAAAGATTGGTGTATAGATGGATGAAACGCAATAAGGAGTCCAGAAATTGACACACACATATATTGTTAAATAATTTTTCAAGGGTAACAAAGCAATGTAATGAGCAAAGCCACACCTTACACAAAAGTTATTAAAATAACAGAAAAAAAGACTTTACCATAGTACAACATCATTTTACAACAGTTAGTTAAGATGTATCTTTGACTTGAACATAAAAACCTAAAACTATAAAATTTCTAGAAAACAAAGTAAGTTGTTTGTGACCATGAGAATTAGTAAAGATGTCTTAGAGAGAGCAGAGAAAATACTGCATAAAATTAAAAGAAAATGATAAATTGAACCTAACTGAAGTTTAAGGGCCAGGCATGGTGGCTCACGCCTGTAATCCCAGCAGTTTGGGAGACCAAGGCCAAAAGATCACCTGAGGTTACGAATTTGAGACTAGCCTGGCCAACATGGTGACACCCCATCTCTACTAAAAATAAGAAAAATTCACAGGGCGTGATGGTGGGCACCTGTAATTCCAGCTACTCGGGAGGCTGAGGAAAAAGAATCCCTTGAACCCAGGGTGTGGAGGCTGCAGTAATTGAAATCATGCCACTTTACTCCAGCCTGGGTGACAGAGTTAGACTGTTTCAATTAATTAAAAAAAAAGAAAAGAAAAAGAAAAGAGATTTAAAACTTTTGCTCATTTCAAGTTACAAGACACTGTTATAAATATAAATATGTAAGTTGCAGACTGAGAGAAAATAGTTGTAATACGTGTACCAAAAAAGACTAGTATACTAAAATGTTAAAAGGTCTGTAATTTAGAGATAGAGTACAAACAACTTGATGAAAAAATGAACCAAATTCTTGAACAAATACGAAAGAATACACACAAGTGACCAAGAAGCACGTAACAGATGTTCCATATTATTAGTCGCAAGAAAAATGCAAAATAAAACCACAATGAAATATGACTGTGTCACGTGCATTGTTATAATGAAAAAGATTGACAGTGTCAAGCGTTAGGCTATAGAGCAACCGAAACACCTACACCACCGGTTGAAGTACAAAAATGTACGAGCGTTTGGGAAAACTCTAGCAGTTTTTATTTTTAATTAAAATGCATGTCCCTTTTGGACCTGCTCGTAGGCCTCCATGACACTCCCCGGTACTTATTTTTATATAATCAAATTGTCTGAAAATATTGCAGATGCAACTCTTCCATTGCAATCCTTTTCCTCTGTACTTTCTTTTGTCTTCTTATATCTCTGGTGATCACCTTTAGCATTGCCCTACACTATACCAAACAGTAGCAGTTACAGTCAACATTTTTTACTTGTTTTTAATCCTAAATGGAATGTTTGAATTTTCATTATTAAGCACTATAAAAATGCTGTATAAATTTAACATATAACACTAGCAATTTAAGAAACAGTTTTTCTATTCCTTGTTTCCCCAGAGGGACTTACATAGACTTTGAATGCTATCACATGCTTTCTTATGGTTATCAAATGCACTTACTGAATAATCGTGTGGTCTTTCAAAACTTTTAAATGAGATAGCTTGTACTGATTTTCTGAAATCAAAGCATTCCTAAGATAAATCCACTTGAATATCAATTTTTAACAGCTTTGTTGTATATAGTAAATAAATATTTTCTTGGGATTTGTACTTCTAATTTCATAAGAAAATGAGTTGTTTCTTTTTGTCTTGTTCTGACCTTGTTTAGAAATCAAAAAGTCTATTAAATCGAGATAAAGTTCTCATTTTGCTATTTTTTGAAGGATATTCAATAGAAAAATTAGCTATTCCTTAAAAGATCGGTAGATTATTTTAACTGCCATTTCAATTTATTTATCTTTAATTTCTACAATTCTATAATTCTTTATTCTCATTACATATTGGCATTTTATATTTTTTAGACATCTATGGTCTTTTTTTTTTCGTATCTATAAATGCATTAGTGTTTTGGTTTGCTAGGTCTGCCAGTAACAAGCTGTCACAAAGTGGGTGGCTAAAATTATCAGGAATGTATTGTCATACAGTTCTAGAGACAAGAAGTGTAAAATTAAGACTGTTGATAGGATGGGTTCCTTGTGAGGACCTGTGAGGAAAGAATCTGTTCCGGGCCTTTCACCTTGGCTTGAAGATGGCATTCTCCCTGGGTATGAGTCTGTCTCTAAATTTTCCTTTTTATGATAACACCAGCAATATTAAATTAGGACCCACCCTATTAACCTCATTTTAACTTGGTAAAGACACGGTCTCCAAATCAGGTCACATTCTGAGGTATGGGGGTTAGAGCTTCAATCTATAAATTTTTAAGGAAACAGAGTTTTCCCCACAATAATTGATTAATTATTTCCATAATGTTTTATTTAATTGTAATATTTGTGGGTTTGGGGATTATTTGTAGTTTTTTGATATTTCCTTTATTGTATCTTCTTCTGCAAACTTTTAGACATCTAGTTCTTTAGTCTGTTCTAATAGTCACCATTTGATTTATCTTTCTCATTTCTTCTTTTTTCATTAACTTCTCCTATTACTTCTATTTTTAAAATTTGTATATTTTTATTTCACTCTATTGCTCCAAGATGCATGCTTTAAATCTATTTTGTTTGCACACTTTTGATATTATTTTAATATCATTTAAATAAATGATACTGAATAAATATTTGAATATTATTTCTTCAAATATTTCCTATCAACTATTCTTTTACTCTCTCTCTCCATTTCAGATTTTTGTTATCTAAAAGGTGGCATTTCTACTTCTATTTTTCATATCTCTCAGCTTTTATTTTGTATTTTATATTATTTTCTTTTCTGTCATAGGTCTTACTCATTCTTAATCAGCCTCCATTCTACTAATTAACTCATTTCAGTCTTGTTAAGTCACAATCATCAAGCCTCCTTCCAGAGTGAAGCATTTACTTTTTATTCTGGATAAAAGTGTTAAGCAACTTTTTTTTTTTTTTGGTGAAAGTACATTTTGAAAACATCCTTATTGAGATACAACTACACGCAGCATAAAATTCTCCCCCTGAACCTTCTTATACACAAGCTTATACCCTCTCTTCCAGAAATAAAACTCTACTTGCTCTGGTAGTCTTTCACAATGCTCCAGAATGCTTCCCCCATGCCTCACTTATTAGTAGACTCACCATAAGTAAAGAGTTCACATTTTTAAGCTGTCCTGTATTTTATTTTATCTCTCCTTTACTTCCTTCTCATTCACTCAATACAACTTACTTGTCTGACGCATGAGGCCATCAGATCTGCCATCCCGTAGCTCTGGTTCAACCATGGCAATGTTCTAACTGATGGAGATCAGTGCGAAAGGAATAGAACGTTTTCATTTCTGTCGAATGCACCGAGGAAGCTTCACTTCTGTCGGACGCACTGTCAGTACTCACTTGAGATCAAAGATAAAAGCAGGCAGACTGGTTTAGGGAAATAATTTAAAATGTTAAAATTGACTCCTCCATAACAAAAGGATCATGCAGTCAATCATGTAAACACCACGACAACCATGCTATGGAACATTTTCATCATCTTTCTTTTTTCCCTTTTCTAATTATTATCTTTTCTGACCCTGGTCCCTGGCAAGCATTAATTTGCTTTATATCAACAGAGTTTTTCTTTTCATGAAACTTTTCTTTTTTTTGAGACAGAGTCCACTCTGTTGCCCAGGCTGGAGTGCAGTGGGGAAAACTGGGCCCACTGCAACCTTGACCTCCTTTTCCCAAGTGATCCTCCTGCCCTACCCATCCAAGTAGTTGGGGCTAAAGTCATGCTCCATCATCCCCTGCTAATTTATTTTTTGTAGAGACTAGGTCTCATTATGTTACCCAGACTGGTCTTGAACTCATGGGCTTAAGTGGTCCTCCCACTTCAGTCACCGAAAGTGCTGGGATTACAGGTGTGAGCCACCACGGCTGGCCCCTTTCATAGAATTTTATATAAATGGTATCATATGTAGTGTCTTGTCTCTAGCTTATTGCATTTATAATAATGCTTTTGAGATTCACTCAAGTTGTTGTGCAGGTAAGTAGTTCATTCGCTTTTATTTCTGAGTGCCATTCCTATTGTATGTTGTACCAGAAATTGTCTATACCATCACGAGTTAATGGACTTTTCTTGCTAGGGTGTGACTAGTATCAATGAAACTGCTGTACACAAGCATTCCGGTGAGGGCAAGTTTTCTCTTGGGTAAATTCCCAGAAATTGAATTGCCTGCATCAGGTAAGTATGCTTATCTTTATCAAAAGGTGTTGGCCGGGCGCGGTGGCTCAAGCCTGTAATCCCAGCACTTTGGAAGGCCGAAGCGGGTGGATCACGAGGTCAAGAGATGGAGACCATCCTGGTCAACATGGTGAAACCCTGTCTCTACTAAAAATACAAAAAATTAGCTGGGCATGGTGGCACGTGCCTGTAATCCCAGCTACTCAGGCGGCTGAGGCAGGAGAATTGCCTGAACCCAGGAGGCGGAGATTGCGGTGAGCCGAGATTGCGCCATTGCACTCCAGCCTGGGCAACAAGAGCGAAACTCCGTCTCAAAAAAAAAAAAAAAAAAAAAAAAGTGTCAAGACTGGGCGTGGTGGCTTATGCCTGTAATCCCGTCACGTTGAGAGGCCAACATGGGCAGATCACGAGGTTAGGAGTTTGAGACCAGCCTGGCCAACATGGCGAAGCCCTGCCCTAGTAAAAGTATAAAAAAAATTAGCCTGGCGTGGTGATGGGCACCTGTAATCCCAGCTATTTGGGAGGCTGAGATAGGAGAATCACTTGAAACTGGGAGGCAGAGGTTGCAGTGAGCAGAGATTGTGCCACTGAACTATCGCTTGGGCAACATAGCAAAACTTCATCTCAAAAAAAAAAAAAAAAAAAAAAAAAATGCAGTCAAACTGTTTTCCAAAGTAGGTATATGAGTTTCGGTTTCCATCAACACCACGTGTTATTGTTTATCTTTTAATTTCAGCTATTCTACTATATATTCATTGATCTCTCATATGATCTCAGCTTACATTCCTCTAGCGACTAATCATGTTCAGCATCTTTTTATGTGCATATTGATCATATGTCTTCCCTGGTGCCATACTTGTCCAATACTTTGCCAATTTTTAATTGGGTTTTCTATTATCGACTGATAAGTAGTCCTTTTAAAGAAAGTCAAATGTATGACTTTTTCCATGATTTATGAGTTTTGTGCCTTCACTATGAAACCTTTGCCTGTCTCAGGATCACAAACATTATCCCCATTTCTTCCCAGATATTTTGAAGTTTTAGCTCTCATATTTAGGTTCCTTGCTTATGTTGATAAAAGCTTTGCATATGGGATGAGGTAAAAATCAACATAAAATTTTCAAAACATGAATATCTCATTGTTTCAGAACCATTTGCTGAAAAGATTCTTTCTTTTTTGAATTACTTTGTCACTTAGATGAAAATTCAATCTCCTTTAATTTGTACTCAGCAATGTTTTACAGTTTTTAGTGTAGAACTTTTGCACAGACATCATTAATTTTATCCCCACATATTTTATTTTTTTGATACCTGTGCAAATGGTATTATATATTTAACTTAAATTTCCAATTGTCTGTTGTTACAATGTAGGAATGTAATTTATTTTTGTTTATTGAGTTTGCATCTTTAGACTTTGCTGAACTATTCATTTATTTGTTCTTTTATCTATTTTGTAGATTCCTTTGGATTTCCTGCAGAGACATTTATGCCACTGTGAATAAGGTCCATTTTACTTCTTTTCTAATCAATATTCTTCTGTTTATTTTTCTTGCCTTATTTACCTGCTAGCACCAGCATAAATGTTGAATATAAGAGGGACATTTCCTCTTCTTGCAATGTCTCCAGTCTTAGGAGAAAACCATTATCTTCTATCATAAGGTATGCCAGGTATAGGGTTTTGAAGATCCTATTTATCAGCTTGAGGAAGTTTTCTTCTATTCGTAGATTGCTGATCTGGCTATATGTTTATCCATCTTTGAATTGGATAAAAGTTGATCTTTCCAACTAGGGTGCAGTGGCTCATGCCTATAACCCCAGCACTTTGGAAAGTGGAGGCAGGTGGATCACCTGAGGTCAGGAATTTGAGACCAGCCTGACCAACGTGCAGAAAACCAGTCTCTACTAAAAATACAAAATTAGCTAGGCGTGGTGGTGCATGCCTATAATCCCAGCTACTCGGGAGGCTGAGGCAGGAGAACCACTTGAACCCTGGAGGAAGAGGTTGCTGTGAGCCGAGATTGTGCTTTTACACTCCAGCCTGGGGAACAAAAGTGAAATTTTGTCTTAAAAAAAAAAAAAAGGTGATCTTTCCAAAACATCAGGTATTGTTTCCATTAATTTTCTCTTTTAGTTTTCTCATTTTTATTTCACTGTTTTCACTTCATTCTTTTTTACATTAGGTTTAGTTTTATCTTGTTTTTCTTTCTTAATGTAGAAGTCTAGATTTGAAGGGGGTAGAAAAAAGTAGAAAATAATAGGTGCCAGTCATTAAGTCAATTGCTTCACTAAAAAATTAACTCTTTTACTTTAAGTAAAACAGTGACTGAATTTTAGCCTGCATTTCTCCATCTCTCAAGGCGGAAGCTGCAGTGAGTTGAGATCATGCCACTCACACTCCAGCCTGGGTAAGAGAGCAAGACTTGGTCTCAAAAAAAAAAAAAAAAAAAAAAAAAAAAGAAGTTGATGTTGGGAGAATATGTCCTAAATGCACACAATAATGGGCTTCCCAATTTTGTTTCTGCAAATGAGACAGATTACCTCCCCAGGAATCGGCATTACTCCCGAAGGAAGGCGTTGGGTAGCAAAATAGAATGCACTCAGTGCCCGTGCAGAATAGAATATGCTCCACTCAGACAGTGGATCTGGAGTAGGATGGAGCTAGGGGCTGAACCAGGCCCAATTCCTCACTTAAACCCACTATTCAGATAAGTCACCTTTTCTCCTAGGAGTCTTTTGGGAAGAAACTATTTTCATAGAAATCAGACAAAGATCTCGCACTTCTTATTCTCCAAGAATCCATATAGAGATGTTGGCTGGGTGCCGTGGCTTACACCTGCCTGTAATCCCAGCACTGTGGGAGGCGGAGGCAGGTGGATCACTTGAAGTTAGGCCAACATGGTGAGACCTCTGTCTCTACTAAAAATACAAAAGTCAGCTGGCGTGATGGCAGGTGTCTGTAATCCCAGCTACTTGGGAGGCTGAGGCAAGAGACTTGAACCCTAGGAGGTGGAGGTTGTAGTGAGCTGATATCGCGCCATTGCACTCCAGCCTGGGAGACAGAGCTAGACTCCATCTCAACCAACAAACAAAAATGCATTCAAATATACATTAAGAATACAGTTTAGAGATATACACACACACATCACTGCTGCCTTAGAATTATGTATATGCACACATTTGACTCTTCATTCTCTTATTCAACATTTACAGAGTGTCTAATTTTACTTGGCATTTTTCTGGGTGCTTGAGATACATCTATTAACAAAATAGACAGAGGTTCCTTTACTTGTGGGTTTCCATTCCAGAAAGATTAAATATACTATAAAGCCTAAAGATGATAAACAAATGGTGTGATATTTCAGTATATAATAAGTTCTGCTAAAGATGAAAGATGAGCCACGTTAAAATTGATTAGTAATGTCAAGATTGAGGAGTGTTAGCTGCAATTTTAATAGGGTAGTCAGGGTAAGTATTACTGAAAAGGTGAACTGTAAATGAACTCTGAAGAGGAAAAGTCCCATGTGGCTATATGGGTGAGCATCATCCTGGTGGAATTGTGAGAATATCCTAAAGCAGGTGTGTCACATTCCAGAAAGAGTGAGGAAGGCAGCTGTGTCTGGATGAGGAGAGTAGTGAGAGAAGATTTTAGTTAAGTACTGACAGGGTTGTTCTGTTTTTGCCATTCTGAGGTGTCTGGCTAATATTCTAAGTGAAAAGGGAGGATGGAAAATTATCCTGAGTAGAATAGTAGTGTGATCTGACACACATTTAGTATGTTCATTCTGGGTACTGTCCTCAGAATAAATTGGAAGGGGATGAAATCTACTTATTTAGCCAATAAGTATACTTAAAAATATTCAAACTTCTTCCTTTTCACAAGATGGCGCCAAAAGCGAAGAAGGAAGCTCCTGCCCCTCCTAAAGCCCAAGCCAAAGCGAAGGCTTTAAAGGCCAAGAAGGCAGTGTTGAAAGGTGTCCACAGCCACACAAAAGAAGAAGATCTGCACATCACTCACCTTCCGGCGGCCCAAGACACTGCGACTCCGGAGGCAGCCCAGATATCCTCGGAAGAGCACCCTCAGGAGAAACAAGCTGGACCACTACGCTATCATCAAGTTTCCGCTGACCACTGAGTCCGCCATGAAGAAGACAGGAGACAACACCACACTTGTGATCATTGCGGATGTTAAAGCCAACAAGCACCAGCTCAAACAGGCTGTGAAGAAGCTCTATGACGCTGATGTGATCAAGGGCAACACCCCGAGGTGTTGCAACACCCAAGGCATGTGTTCGACTGGCTCCTGATGACTGTGCTATGGATATTGCCAACAAAATTGGGATCATCTAAACTTAGTCCAGCTGGCTATTTCTAAATATATGTATATCTTTTCACCATAAAAAAAAAATTCAAACTTCTGTTCCTCATGTTCATAAATTTCAACCAATAGCCCATTATTTGTTCCTTTCTCTTTTCTTCTTTACCTGTCAAATCTTCCTCACTGGGCACTCTGACTCGTTTGAATATTATTTTTATTTCAGGACAGTTTGATAAAAATTTCATCATTAGGATTGAATTGTTCTTGTACAGCATGTAAATTACAATTTAACAAAGCCTGCATTTAACCTGCTAACACAATTTATACACTATTAAATCTCAGCCCAGGAGAGAATAAAGAGATGGTGACATTTGTTTCCGATGATGTTAAACATAACATCTATTTGTCAATATTATTTTCTGTATTGCTTGAATGTCGGTAATGTTTGTGAGACCCAGCTGAGTTTAAAATGTGTTTCTACCATTTACTATAATCCCAGGTGCCGAGACCAGCTCAGCTGTTGAGACCCTAACCCAGGCGATGCTGAAGGAATTAAGAAATAGACACAGAGATAGGAAGCAAAAGTTGGGTCCAGAGTGGAACACCAGGGGTCTCACAGCATTTCCAGCTGAGAGCCCAGAGTCGACTCTGATCCACGTATTTATTCTTTACTTCCAGTGACAAGTTTTACAAGCAGATGCTCTGTGTTCTTTCATTGGTTAAAGGTAAACAACCAGGCAGCTAGTGGATGATTACTATAGGTTAAAGATAAACTAGAAAGCACTCTTTAGAGAGAACAAAGGAAGGAGTCACATTTCTTGTGTTTGAAGAACGAATTCATCTGGCATGAGACACATTCATATTGGTTACTGTTTTATAATGCTTTGAGCCATTTTCTGCTTTGAGCCATTTTCTGCTTTGAGAGGCAGTTTTCCACTTTGGGGGGCTGACTAGGTTTTCCTTGCTGCTGCTCTCGGCAAACAATATGATTTCTCACACACATCAGAATTTGCTCTAACCTGTTCCAGCTTTCTTTTTCTGCAAAGCTAGGTAAGCAAGTACAGCTTTATCTTGATGAGCTATTTCTTGAAGGATTCAGGATCTGCATCTGTAGACTACGCAAAGAGAAATAAGACAAATTAATAACACAAACATAACAGCAACCATAGATCCTCCAGGTATTTTTACCCAAGCCACGGGCTTCAGGGGTGCGATTCCATCAGCAGCCCCCTCAAGTACTTCAGTTCCTGGAATTAAAGTTAAATGTGCTTGAGAGACTTGAAAAACTTGTTCCTTTAGTTTTGCTATATCGAGTCATAAATTTTCAGCATGCCCTTCTAAGTGACGCTTTATTTTTTTTTCCAGTCACGTTGAATTTCATTATACAGATGAGGAGTGATATGATAATCAGAAGTATTCCAATCACACTGTAATTGAATTTTATACTCTAATTACCCTGTCCCCTAGCTGGAGAACAGTTTGCCTAAGATTATTAATCTGATTAGCTATACTTTGATCTATCTTTGTTTGAGAATTCCACAGGAAGGTAGAGTTTTTCTGCCAATTATTAACGAACTCAGCTGCCTGTACTGACGAATGCAGAGCCAATTCTGCTGCAGCGGCTATAGCCATGACTGCAATTAGACCCATAGTGATGAAAATTAAGGTGGCAATGAAATTCCTGGTATGTTTTAGAACCTTTTGTAAAATTTAAGTGAGAATATGTACTGATGGGGATGCTTCCCCTGGACAAGACAGATTTACTGGTAGCCATATTTCCTCTTGGGTTCTCACCAGTAATATAGAGTTACAAGTGTCAAACCTGGAGTCATTAATACAAGAAAACAATTTACAATTTCAACATGTTACCTTGGAGTTAAGAAAATTAATCTGTAACCTTCCCACTACTAAAAGATAAGGAGGTTTAAAACAGCTCTGAATCCAGAGTTTCATTTTTCACAAATTCTAATGAATAATAATGATTGTAACGCAATCCTGTAAAATTTCCTTCCCAGACCTTTATTGGTTTCAGGGTCATAAATAATTTCCAAAGTTTTTTTGTTCGATTCTCAATTTTGACCACATCATTCTTGGTTGTGGTCCTACCTTGCCCCCATTTCTTCACATAAAAAAAAAATTATTTCCATATAAACCACAGAATATATTTAATTCAAATTAAACATGAAACTAGAATAATGTTCGGTCCTTATCAGTAGCAATTACACTGTTAAAAAAAAACACCAGTACATTTCTGTCTACATTCCAGCAATCCAACAAGGTGGCATGGGTCACATCCAGTTTGACGAGGTGACAGAGCCAGCAGTCACCATCCATGTGCATGGTTCTGAGGGGACTGGGGAGACACAGACCATACGTGATACAAAACGATTCTGTAGCAAGTCTGAAGGAGAGGGCCTCCCTCCTGATCCATAAGAATAAAAGTCCAGGTAGCAGAGAGTCGGCGACTTGCATAATGAGTGCATTTTATCAAATAGTTAACACACTGCTTCTGACTCATTCCAAGTTGCTGTAGGTGCTGCCTGCATTCAGAGCAGGGACAAAAACTTCCGATGCATGTCTCAGCAGGAATACTCTCTCCACTCCAGGTATTTCTTTGTTTGGGTTTTTTTTTTTTTTTTTTTTTTTTTTTTGGCATGATTTCCTTCCCTTGTAAAGAAAGCCAACTTCTTCAAGACACAGGTCATTCAGTGTAAATTAGCTTCCTCTTTCTGTCACTCAGGCAACCCTTTGTCCTGTGTTCGAGCCCCACTGTTCGGGCATCACCTCCTGAGACCAGCTCAGCCATGGAGACCCTAACCCAGGAAATGCTGAAGGAATTAAGAAATAGACACAGAGATAGGAAGCAAAAGGTGGGTTCAGAGTGGAGCACCAGGGGTCTCACAGCATTTCCGGCTGAGAGCCCCGAGTCGACTCTGATCCACGTATTTATTCTTTACTTCTAGTGACAAGTTTTATAAGTGGATGCTCTGTGTTCTTTCATTGGTTAAAGGTAAACTAACCAGGCAGCTCGTGGATGTTTACTATAGGTTAAAGATAAACTAGAAAGCACTCTTTAGAGAGAACAAAGCAAAGAGTCACATTTCTTGTGTTCAAAAAACGAATTCGTCTGGCGTGAGACATATTCGTATTGGTTACTGCTTTATAGTGCTTTGAGCCATTTTCTGCTTCTTTCTTCCTTGAGCTGTTTTCTGCTTTGAGCTGTTTTCTTCCTTGAGCCATTTTCTGCTTTGAGAGGCAGTTTTCCACTTTGGGGGGCTGACTAGGTTTTCCTTGCTGCCCTTCTAGCAAATCATATGATTTCTCACACACGTCAGAATTTGCTCTCAGCACCCAGGTAAATAATCTTTCACTTGCTCATTTATTTAAGCCAAAATATGATTAAAAAAAATTCATCATTGAAGGATGAAAATATTTAGCATAGTTCATGGTACAACTTAATACTCACTATTTCAGGAAATGTAAAAGTGAAGAAAAGGCAACTAGGCCAAAGTAAAATATTAAAAGGTGCAGAGACTTTTAATGACAGCCAGATGTTCACGCTTGCCCTGTGTCCCTCTGAGACCTGCTTAAGTATTACCTGGAATCTAAACCCCAGAGCTTTGTGGGAATCCAGAGAAATCTCCATGATTTCTTCAAGTCACCAGGGCTTCCTACTTCGTGGTTCTTCCATCTCTAAATACTCATGTTTTGCTTCCATAACTCATAGCACAAAACCTGATTCTTCCACTAGTTTCAGCAACAACAGCCACAACAAATCCACTTAATGTAAATAATTTGCCAGTTTAGTATGTTCACTAAAGACCCAGGGAATCATAGGAAGTTGCACGTGGCTCAGTATGAATTTTATTTCCCCGGAATTTGGTCCCTGATGGTGATGCAAGGTCAGAGACCCTAATCAATTTCTGAGTATTTCTCCCACGGACCTTCTTACCAAGTTGTATTTTTAAACTTTTTGTTTCAGGGGTATAAATGCAGGTTTGTTATATGGTAAATTATGCGTCATGGAGGTTTGGAGTACAAATTATTTCATCACCCCGATAATAAGCATAGTACTTGATAGTTTTTCATTCCTCACCTTCTTTCCACCCTCCTCCCTCAAGTAGGCTCTGGTGTCTTTTGTTCTTTGTGTCCATGTGTACTCAATGTTTAGCTCATGCTTATATGTGAGAACACGTGGTATTTGGTTTTCTGTTCCTGCATTAGTTCACTTTGGAAAATGACCTTCAGTTCCAACCATGTTGCTGCAAAGCACATGATCTCATTCTTTTAAATGGCTAAGTAGTATTTCATGGTGTAGATGTATTTTCTGGAGATATCACACTACCTGACTTCAAACAATACTGCAAGTCTACAATATTCAAAACAGCATGATACTGGTACCAAAACAGAGACATAGACCAATGGAACAGAATAGACCAATATTCTGGCCTCAGAGGCGACACCACACATCTACAACCATTTGATTTTTGACAAACCTGACAAAAACAAGCAATGGGGAAAGGATCCCTGTTTAATAAATGGTGTTGGGAAAACTGGCTAGCCATGTGCAGAAAGCAGAAACTGGACTCCTTCCCGACCCCTTACACTAAAATTAACTCCAGATGGATTAAAGACTTAAACATAAGACATAACACCATGAAAACCCTAGAAGAAAACCTGGGCAAAACCATTCAGAACATAGGCATAGGCAAGGACTTTATGACTTAAACACCAAAAGCATTGGCAGCAAAAGCCAAAATGAACAAATGGGACCTAATTAAACTCCAGAGCTTCTGCACAGCAAAACAAGTAATCATTAGAGTGAACCAGCCACCAACAGAATGGGAAAAAATTTTTTGCAATCTACCTATGTGACAAAGGGCTAATATCCAGAATCTACA